AAATTAGTCACATCTATCTGTTAAAGACTAGTCGTTTCATTATATATTAGTTTATATTATCCATTTATCTTGTTTCACCTTTATTTTACATAGCCATCGTCAAGATAATAAGATACCGAGACATTTAGTATTACTTTGGACCGCATCCTATCTCATCGATTCAGATATGTAACACCTTTGTTATATTTTTACCACATCATCACATTTGCGCTGAAGATGACCCAAAAATAGGATCGAAACGTTCGCTATTCCTTCGTTTAATTTTATTTTTATTTTTTATTTGTTTCATGTCTTTTTTTGTATAATAAATAAATAAATGTGTCAGACATTGACGTTAACTCGTATTGCTATTGAAACTAATTTGTTAATTTTATATTTCGAGTCTTATACCTCTATTATAAGAATAATTAAACAAGTATTTATATAATAATCTTTTTTTAAATTCATACATAATAATAGACGTATTTTCAAATATTTTATAAATTTATCAAAATTTATTCCTTCCACAGCAATGATATCTGTATGTACAAAGATTTATAAATACAGTTTGAAATAGGAAAAAGCTTCAAAACATAATATAAAAAAAGCTTGAAAAGAAAATTATAATTATGTGTTAACATTTATGAATTTACAAAATAGTAAATATTACATTAAAAAGTGCAGATCTTATATAATATATAAAATACAAAAATACACATGTTTAATATCTAATAAGTATTGTAAGAAAATAAACATTCAAGTATTAATACATGCATATCCATCTACAATTTTTACTTCATTAATTAAGTTATTTATATCAGTTAAATAATACATATAACAATATTTATTGGATTCAATATATCATCTCTTCTATGTCACTTTTTAGAACTATAATATTTTCCAGACAAAAGTTGAAGTTTGATTTAATTCCCGCTGCGTTGCAACAAGATAGCATTAAACGACAGTTAACCTTTTTATCAAACGACAGTTAACCTTTAATTTCGCATTGTCAATAGATGACGAAAATCTTAAAGTTATTTGTTGATGACAACAATGTGTTATAAAACATTGTTAAAATATTTTTTAACCATAAAACATTAATGAGAAACGTTTCTATAAAAACGTATTTAAAACCATAGTTAAAGAAACATATTTTTCACGTTTTTAATATATAGACAAAATAAAATAATTTTTATTAATTTCAAATTATAATATATATACATATATACATATACATACACACACACACACACACACACACACACACACACACACACACACACACACACACACATATATATATACAGGGTGACTAATTTTAACTTAGGCAGCCAAATAACTCGAAAAATAAGCACACTACGAAAAAATGGTTAGAATCAAAATTTCGTCATTTCGAGGGGGACGTACAATGACGTTAAAATCAGCCCCCCCACCCCTCCCCCTGGGCGGTGAGGCGGGGCAAGTTTGAAATCTTAAATGGGAACCCCTATTTTTTATTGCATATTCCTGTAGCTTATCTCGAGAGCTTTCCAAAACACTATAATTAAGTACCTTTTTATTAAGTACTTTTTGAGTTATAAGGCTTGAAATAATTTCTTAATTTTACATAAACCATAAAATATCTAGTAAACCATTCATTTTTCGATTATCTTACCTTCATACTTTTATGTACAAAATAATGAGAGGAATCAATTGGTGTAAAGAAAACATACAGTTGTTTTTAAGAAAAAATATGGAATTGTTAATTGCAAATTACATATTTTTTCTTAGAAACAACTATGTGTTTTCTTTACACCAATTGATTCCTCTCATTATTTTGTACATAAAAGTATGAAGGTAAGATAATCGAAAAATGAATGGTTTACTAGATATTTTATGGTTTATGTAAAATTAAGAAATTATTTCAAGCCTTATAACTCAAAAAGTACTTAATAAAAAGGTACTTAATTATAGTGTTTTGGAAAGCTCTCGAGATAAGCTACAGGAATATGCAATAAAAAATAGGGGTTCCCATTTAAGATTTCAAACTTGCCCCCCCTCACCGCCCAGGGGGAGGGGTGGGGGGGCTGATTTTAACGTCATTGTACGTCCCCCTCGAAATGACGAAATTTTGATTCTAACCATTTTTTCGTAGTGTGCTTATTTTTCGAGTTATTTGGCTGCCTAAATTAAAATGGGTCACCCTGTATATATATGTATACATATACATATAATTATTACGAAAAAATTATTAATTTCTATTTACAATTATATGAATAAAATCACCAAGAATCAGTATTTCATTAATCTCTAGTAGATCTCTAACGCTTCTTTTTTATTACTTTATCTTATATCTCACTAATTATAATCAGTAGAAGTAAAATTTCACTGTAAAATTAGTAATCGCTAGTTCGTTCGTTTATACCGCTTCGATGCGCTATTTTTCTCGTACTTAAGTTTTAGTCATGAGAATTATATAAAGTTTGCAAAGGGCGACAGATAAAATTAAAAGTATTACTTCGATTTAATTTCTGATACAATTTCAATAGAAGAACTTCAGATATTAAATCGATTTTATAAGTCGGACAAGTAAATGTCCTGTGAATAAACGAAAATGAACTGTTCATTATATGTTAAAGATGTAAAATAACTATCATCTATTTAACATTCTTGTTCTAATACGCATGTAAATATAAATAAAATTTTTAATTTTATACGAGGTAGATAAATTAATATTACTGATTAAAACAGCCAACATTACTAATTCTTCCAATGAAATATTATTGATTTACAGTGCTATAATAACTTATAACTGCTGTATCAGTAACTCTGTTTACTGTTTTCAATGATAATGTACTGATTCATTTTTAGAGAGAGTGCATATGAATGCATTATTTTATTAATTCCATAAAAAAACAAAAGGCTTTTAGTTACGTTAATTATTTGATTTTGTTATTCGATTCGTTTTATTATGCGTTTTCAGCCTCCGAACGATAATAAAAAAATAAAATAAAATCATAGGAAAATTATTTAATGTGTGCTGCTAATGATTGAAACTCTTTGTAAAATGAAAGACTATTTCAGACTTTAGATTAATTTATATTTTTATGTAAATATCTTAATATTTTACAAAATGTTTCACAGTGATAATTATTTAGATACTTAATTATTGATTTTTGAACATTTTGTATATCCTATTACAGTTTTCATAGTCCGAGTTGCATTCTTTCATTTTATAAGTTTTAATCATTAACAGAGTTTTAATTAACATTGTTAATTAATAGGAAATCTGTAATATAGATCTCGTTTTTGAAAATCGCGCAACGTTTCGAAAAGATGCGTTAAAAAATGTGATGATGCTTTCAATCTGCTTCCAACCGAGTGATTATTAAATCATGAAAAAATTAATTAATATTGTACAAAAACTGTAATAGAATATACAAAACGTTCGAAAATCAAAAAATTATCTAAATAACTATGTATACCTGTATATATATAATGGATATCTTTTTATTATTTTAAGTAATACAAAGACTGGAATAATGCAAAGTACTTTTATATAAGAAAGGTATCGCGCGTGCTAAATTATCCGTTAAATATTTTCACAGAAAAATATCACAAATATCATTCACCGTATAAATTTGATGACGATTATTGGCAATTCCAAGTAATATTTTATATTACATTTTATATCAATAAATAACACTTAATTATAAGTCAAAAATAATACGTAATTATAAGTCTTAATAATATATTAAATTAATAAAGAATAATATATTTTATAATCAATAAATAAAAATAACAAACGTTATTTTTATTTTCTTGTTTGCAATTTAGTTTATGTTTTTTTTAGATAACATACAGCATGATAATATGTTTCAATCGTAAACTAGAACGTAATAAATGTATACATTATAAATGAAAATTTAATACGATATCCCGCTTTCTGTTGCATTTATCTGATAAAGATATTGAATGGACATTGTAAAATCATTTATAGATTAAGGATTACTACGAACAAATTACAAAGGTAAGAGATACGTTATTATTAAAAGAATCATATATTATTATTAAAAAGAATGACACTGTTCTGCAAAATATTTAAATAGATTATAATATTACAAATTAAAATATATTCTACCATTTATGGATTAAGGATTACTACGAACAAATTACAAAGGTAAGAGATACGTTATTATTAAAAGAATCATATATTATTATTAAAAAGAATGACACTGTTCTGCAAAATATTTAAATAGATTATAATATTACAAATTAAAATATATTCTATTATATTAGATTAAAATATTTTAAGATATATAATATAATATTCCTATAAATATTATCTTTCAAAACATCTCTACAAACAGAAAAATTTTTTATAATAATATACAAACAAAAAATCTAAAAAGAAAGTGAAGAAAAGTTGCAAGTAAATGATAGTTGTAAATTTAAAATTGTTATCTCTATCACGTCTCTATCGATTTTTCACTATCTCTATCGATTTTAGATATAAGAGAGATTTTTAACTTTCCAATTTTTCCTTCTAATTTTTAATTTTTTAATTTTTAACTTTTTGAAACAGTTATCAAGCCATTTAAACAAAATTATGTTGGAATAAATATAAAGTTATAAATCTCAAAATATATAATTAAATGTTCCATAAATATTTTAATAAGAAAAAGACTTCCTCTTTTCTAATATGTAACATGATTTCAGCAAATATAATATTAAAAAAAAAATATATATATATATATATATATATATATATATATATATAGCTAAAAAAATTCAATTATGTTTTCTTATAATCCTATTCAAATTAAAAATATAAACTTTAAAAAAAGTTTTTATACAAATTTTATATGATGTACAGATGTTAAATATAGATTTAAAATTTATCATATTATTTCTTCATCTTAAAATCTTATATTATTAATCTTATATATTATATTCTTATCTTATATTATTTCTTTATCTTTTAATATGATTTTCTAATAAAATTTAAATTTAAAACACATTATCTAGAAATATTTTTCCTTCAGTAAGATTTATTAGATCATTTGGAAAATAAACATTAATTTAATTATAATATCGGCTAAATAGTATCGACTGGTTTCAGTAAAGCATCTTCAATGTTCTCTCTTAATGCTATAATATTGTTCAGACAAAATTCGAAATTTGGTCTAGTATCCGCTGTATTCCAGCAACGTAGCATCAACTGGTACAATATTGACGGACAGTTAAGAGTTATCGGCAACCTGCCTCCAGCACGTACATAATTTATCACTTCTTCATTAGTCTTGGCAATATAAGGTTGCTCACCCAATGATGTAATTTCCCACATTAAAACACCAAATGACCAAACATCACTTTGAGAAGAAAATATTTCGAAGATCAAAGATTCGGGTGCCATCCAGCGAACAGGAAACAAATCTTCTCCTCTCTAAAACATGATTTTAACAAAAATTTAATTTTCTGAATGAAGTTGTTCATTTTGAAGTTGTCCATTTTCAATATGTGCAAAATAAAAAACATTTATATTTTGTTTTATATAAATAATAACAATTTATTTATTATATTTGTTACTATTCAAAGAAAAAATGCATATTATGATTTAAAAAATGGAAAGCATTAAAAAAGAATTGATTTTATTAATAATTAATTTTTTTAAATACTTATAATTATAATTATTTACCATGCTATAATAACAATCCTTGTAAATATCTCTAGCTAGTCGAAAATCTCCAATTTTGATGACACGATTCTCGCGATTTCTCGAAGATACTAAACAATTGCGACACGCTAGATCTCTATGCACGAAGCGCAACTCTTCCAAGTAGCAACAACCTCGCGCAACATCTTCGCACATGGCGAGCAAATCCTGCAAACGCAGAGCATGCGAATCTGACGCTTCTAAATTTCGACAATCTCTCAAATATTTTAACAGATCATCAGTTTCCATCAATTCGAACACTAGTAATGGAGAATCTTCATCTAAACAAACGGCCAATAATCTTAATATATGTTTGTGTCGAAAATGATTCATAAGCTTGGCTTCCTTTAACAATTTTTTTTTCTCATGGGAAGAAGCATTTTTCCGAAGCGTTTTTATTGCAACGGATATCTCTGTGCCCGATCCTTCTAAGTTCTTCACCTTTCCTTGAAACACCTGCGAAATATTTCACACAAATTTACATACGTACTTTATTGGAATATGTATAGTGTAAATTCAAGTAATATTATATTTTACATTATATTGAATAATTCAACGAAAAATATATAGTAAAGTGCATGTTTGTTGTCTCTATATTTTATATTACTTATAATCTATTGTAAAAATTTATGTAATATATATCTGTATTAGAAAATACATATCTGTTTTGTTGATCCAGAAATTAATTTGAAACATTGCTTGAAAAAATTAATTCTTACCGGTCCGAATGCGCCACTACCAATAAGTTTTGTAAATGTAATTTGTTTACGTGCGATTTTAGTTATCGCACATTCATCCGGATTATAATGTAACATAGGACTGTAAATCATATCGAATTTAGTATTTCGGCAGGATTCTTTATATAGAATCTCCATTTCTGTATCGATCATTGTTGAAGACAGAAATTGTTCATTATTACCTCTGTGTTGACGACACACTGTTATAAAATTTCAACTTAATTATGTAATAATATGTATTATAAAATTTTTTGATTGTTAGTAAATTTATTCGTTTATATAAGTAAATTACTATTTTTAGTAAATTTTTAGATATTATATCAGATATATATGTATCATCTACAATTCATCTCTAATCTACAATTCAAGTATACGATACGTATATCAAATATACTTACAACGATAAATGTAGCAGAAACAGATTATAATAACTATAACGATATAACCTAACATCAATAATAAGTAATAATTTTCCGTTATTATTCCAGAAGTGTCCGAAATATCTGTATTAAGCAAAAATATAATTTTAATATCTTCCTATGTGTATGTTTTTAAAAATTTATTTTTACTTGTAACTTTATTAGAAAAATTTATTTTTTTTAAATTTTAGGCCTATTCACATTTAAAAATATTAGTTTATCATATTATAATATCTATGCAGCACAGAATGTTACAACTACTTTGCAACAATATTACAATATCACAAATTGCAATGCAACATTACACAAACATTGTAGAAATATAAATTAACAAAATATGAATTGGGTATTAGCAATGTAATATTGATATTTTGAAACCATTGGGAAACTATAACACTCTTTAATTTATTTATAAAAATAATGTAATAATATATATTTTTATATTTATATATATGCGATGAATTTTATTTTTTTGCAGAAGTCAAACGAATTAATGACACAGAAATAATATCAGTCGAGTAAATACAATTTTAAGCTAAAGATAAGCATTTCTATTTTTTTATTAAAATAGATAACATTTTATATCAATGTTAAAATATATTTTATGATATATTTTTACTTTATGTACGAATACGATATCTTTTTATTATATTAAGAATAGATATTTTTATATCTATCATTTTATTTTTCAATGTATTTTTATGTTTTTCTCATATAAATAAATATAAATATAATGGATTTTTAAAATTTTTAAATAAAAATATGATTAATAATGTTTAATTAATTTTATAACTAATGTTTATATGTATAAACATTAATTAACCATTAGAGAAAGAGATATATATACAAAGTACCCATTATAAGAGTATATAGAACATTTAAAATAAAAAAAAATGATTCGTAAGTAAGAGTTTCAAATAATTTTATATAAAAACATATTTTATATGATTACGTTTAAATATAATTTTGCAATATATTATCTTAGATATGATTATCTTAGATATTGCAAACTTCTATTTATATCGAGCTTTTTAATTTAATTATATGTTTTCAAGATATTTATCCATCAAAAACAAAAATATTTTATACGTAATATTATTAAATGATTGTAATAACATTGCATTCTTTTCAATATATTAAACTGTAATATTGCTACAATGTTTCATTGAAAAATGCGGATATCCTAACTTTATCACATTTTATAACAATGACTCAGCAAAGTTTTGCAATCAATTTGCAATGTTTCAATGAAATTATTTTTCAATACATCTACAATCTTATTGTGCTGTATGGGTAATTTCATTTGCTTACCATGTGTTGAAAAAATAAATCTTTCATCAGCCGGCCATGTAAAAGTTTCGTCATATTCAGGATATCTCAATATCAAGCGAAACTGGTATAAAGTTCCCGATTGTAAATTTTTGATATGATATATTATTTCTTCGTTATAATTTATTTTAATACAATTAATTGCTTGCCACTCTTCTGCTGCAATATCTTTGTACTGTAGTGTAAAAAAGATCGTCAGATTAATGTTTGAGATCCATGAAATGTCCATGCTATTTATGTTGGCCTCGCTCATAGTAATATTGTTTGGTTCTGAGTATATGAAATCGATCTTTCTTTTACTCTCGTTGTAAAAATCGCTGAAATTAATTGGATACACACGCACGTATATCAAGTAATCTTGTACTGGTAGCGACAAGTTAATCTTTGTGAAAAATCTGCCGTCTGCCATACGTTTCGGCACATTGATAAATTGTTTATTCTCTTGTTGCGTGTCGTTCACTAACATCCAATGCACTTCGTAGGTCACAACCATGAAGTTCAATTTTTTGGGTGGCATCCAATGAACTACTGCTATAGTAGGCGTCAAAGCTAGAACACTTATGTCTTCTGGTGCATTAAGTTTACCCAAAGTTTTTATTGGTATCACATTCGAATCGAATGGATTTATTGATAATTGATCAAAGTAAAAATTGCTTAAAGTAAACTTCAACTTGTACTCTGTAAATGGTGCTAAGTTCTGAATCTTGTAATTTCGCTCGCCTGTCAGCACAGTGAATTTTTCAGACTTGTTAAGATTGTTGTTTAAACAGCTTACGGAGATAGTATATATAGTAGTTGGTAAATTATATTTTTTGCATCCACTCTTTACAACTGGCTCTGGAAGATATACAATGATGCTGTCTGTCGTTGCAGTCACATTCTCAAAATTATAAACTTTTTCGTCAGGTGTCAGGCATCTCATTGGAGGATATGGTTGTGAAGATTTATCAAAAGCATAAATTTTTTTATAAAACATATTTTTATCTGAGCTTATTGGTATCTTTTTAACATATTTTGCTGTTGAGAAGCTCTTGAGACTTGCATATTTCTTTTTCACAACGTAGAGTGTATATTCAGACTGAGAATAATAATATGCTGAATTATCATGTGCTAAAATGTAAATGTTTGTTTTGTCAATCGTCATAGATTGGAATTTGATGTTATTACTGTCTCTCCGTAAAATTATAGTGAACATAGAAAGATCAATGTCTGATATAATTATACTCCAATCACTTAACCAGTAAATTAATGGCTCTTCATTATTCATGTTATCAATTATCATATTATTATCATCATTTGTATAATAAAATAAGTGATAAGCGGAAGTATTTATCTCAACAATTTGCTCGTTTTTACTATCGAGATGATATTTTATTATACCATATCTTTTAGCCATCCAATTGTATGATATGAAATATGAAATTCTAAAAAATAATTATTATAATTATTTTACTCATTATAAAACATTATTTTAACAAAAACAGAAACTTATATGTAGTAAAAACTCGAAATTCTTATAATTATATAATAACTTATTATTATCTTTTACTTATGATTTTAATTATAAAACCACGTAAAATTATAAAAAAATTACAAATTTGCATAAATCTTTAATGCAAAATTATTTTTTTAGGCGAACGGTTTTTAGGTAAACGTACCCCATAGACGGTAATACAGTTAAATAGACAAACACAATTTTTGTTTTGAAAATCTTATCAAATTTAATTATGCCATTTTCCCATATTGTTAAGTCGAACTTTACAATGTAAGAGTAGTCTGACTCTTGATAGGTCAAATATAGATTTCTTGCTACCCAGTCAATGCAGAGATCATGTAAATCATGATCAAAGCTATATATTTTTGTGATAATATTTTCATTAATCTTCAATGTCATTAGGTCTCTTCGGGTTATCCAATAAATTCTATATTCTGATATCGAATAAACGACATCTATTAATTCTGGTCTGAAAAAAGGAGCCAACTATAATAGTATATTAAAAAAATTATAGTTGAGATTTTTAATTTTATAGTTATTATTACTATAATGATGATAATAAACTTGTGCTATAATGTTAATGATAAACTTGTGCGTAGTAATAATATTAACATTAACTTTATAGTGTCAAAAGCAATTTCATAATTCAAACTATTTTTTTATCAGTATACGTACTGTGGCGACATTTCAAAATTAGTAATAGTGTTTAAATCCACGTCCCATATTTGGATACCTAGATACGTTGTTAATAATAATTTAGGTATTGGATTTTCATGTGTAGTCGACACATTGATTAAATCCGTATAAGGTCCAGCAACAATTTTAGTATGCGCACGTACTCGAAAATAATATGTCGTGTTAAATGTTAGATTATGAATCGTGTGCTCCAATTCTGTAGTTGTGATATTTTTATCCTCACAGATTTGAATCTCTTTTAAGTCCTCCATAATCAAACATTGCACTGTATACCCTTGTATTATTTCACCGCTAAACTTAGGTTGGTTCCATCTATGAAAAAATAACATTTCAGTCTTTTTATATTTAGTAAAATTATAATAGGATTAACATTTTGATATATTTATGTGGTTAAATTTTAAAAAAAAGAGAGAAAAATAAAAGAATACAAACTGAAAATTTAGATTCTTTACCTCAATGTCACAAAAATGTCATTTACTTTTCCTGTGAATTGACTGTCGAATTGTACAAATGCTCTGAGAGATGTTGGCTTGTTTAAACTGCTTTCTAAAGATTTTAAGATCGTACATGTTAACATAATTATATGTAAGATTAAATGGACTATCTCAGTAAATCAGAAAGAACAATTTAATGTGAAAATACCCTGGTAGAAATTGCTTTGCCGGCGCCATAACGTCATAGCCTTATTTTCAAAAACTGAAAAAATCCACACCAGATCTATAGTCGCGGCTGATATATAAATGGCGTAATATTATTATAAAATTAAACGGGCGCAGATTGGAATTTGACTGGGCTTCTGATGCGGTCCATACTTGCGCCACGTCAGATGCTTAGACATCTTTTCGCTTTATCAAAAAAGATAACATTAAAGGAATACAATATACGACACGTGTTTCTTTACTTGCCGCAATACGGCGACACCAGACTTAACTAAACTCGTATTCAATTTTTTATGAAGTGTATATAAAGGACTGGTACACACATGAGATCTAAAGTATATTTTTTTTCTTTTGTGAGTAGTATCTCCAAAAAAAGGACGCTGCTCTCACGTACACGATTAGAGAACCATGGCTCTCTGATTGTGTGCGAGTAAACCACGTTTTCTTCTTAACATCACTTTATCAATTTAATTTAGTTTAATTTCTGACAAACTGAATTTAAAAAAATATTTAATAATATGGATTTTTTGTGGGATTCCAAATTTTTTTCCTTGTTGGATTTTAGAATTTTTTTTCCAGTTTTAGTAATATTTTTAGGCGACTTGGTGCTGTATAGGAAGTTGTTTTTTATCAGTAGTCAAATAGTTCAGTAGTATTTTTTCGTAAAGCAATATTATGCTATATTACAGTAATTTCGCATCTGCCCTATGACAATATCTTACTAGGACTATGTTAATGCCATGTTAGTACCACATAAAATTCATTTCAACGTGGCGCCAGCGGACAAAACATGATGATTTCGAGGATGGCTCTTACCAGCGTGTTATACAAGCTCCTTAAGTGGCAGTGTGGCACGCTGACCAGTGCCATACAAACGCTCGATCAAAATTTCTACCAGGGTAAAGGAAAGAGAAAAAATAAATAAAAAAACAAACTACAAAATATGGAAATTAACATAATATTGACCTTTAAAAAAATAATATAAGAATTTTTTTCATTTAAGATTTGGAAAAGTAATCGTTATTCATGGCAAAAACGAATAAATAACTTTCAATAAAATAAGAAGTACTTTTCGAAAAATTCCTGTAACTTAAGAAATCAAAAGTATAATATTTGCGATTGCTTTAAAACCAAATAGCAAATTATTAAAATTGATTTTACCTTAAATCATGACAATTTTTATGTACAATGTTATGTTTGTATTATGTCTTTTTATTTCTTTTTTGGACAAAATAGAATTTATATTTTTTTCACTGTTGGAAGATATTTTTAGAGTTGATTTCCACTCTCTCTTAAATTTAAATTATATTTACACTTTTTCGTCATAGATTATGTTATTAATGTTTGATGCATTTTTTTGTAACTTACCGATAGATTCTGGGATGATAGAAATATTTGCAAATGTAACTTCATCGACTTCTCGCTCATTTCTCACAATACTATCAGAATGACTCCGGTCAGATTTGAAATTTAGTATATGATGATTATTTTTCTCGAACATTGAAATATCCTTCATGAAGTATAACATACGAAAAGAATTATAAAATGTGAATATCGTTGAAGCGGTTGTTTGTGGTGCTTTTAATGATAAATTATATAAATTATAAAATTAAACGAAAAATTATCATTCGTTTTTTATTGGCTTAATAATGCCGGTTTGACATAAATCATTCCTAAATGGTATATACAGGGTGGGGCATTTATCTTGAGACAAGATAATATCTCGATTGAAGTCGATTATTTTGAAAAAAGTTTTAGACAAAAGTTGTATGGTTTCAAGGGGGACATAAGATGGTGTCATTAGTTTGATCTTGAAGAGCCACCTGAAGGACACGCGAAGGTCAGCTCCAACTTTTTAAATGGGATACCCTATATGCTTTTGCATATTCTTGTAGATCATCTCAAGAGCTTTCCAAAACACTATAATTAAGTTAGTTTTCATTAAGTACTTTCCAAGTTATGAGGCTTGAATTCATTTTTTAATTTTACATAAACCGTAAAATATCTTGTAAAATATTCATTTTTCGATTATTTTATCTTAATACTTTTATGTACAAAATAATGAGAAGAATCAATTGGTGTAAAAAAAACTCATAGTTGTTTTGAAAAAAAATATGTAATTTGCAATTAACAATTACATATTTTTTCTTAAAAATAACTATGTCTTTTCTTTACACCAATTGATTCCTCTCATTATTTTGTACATAAAAGTATTAAGGTAAAATAATCGAAAAATGAATATTTTACAAGATATTTTACGGTTTATGTAAAATTAAAAAATGAATTCAAGCCTCATAACTTGGAAAGTACTTAATGAAAACTAACTTAATTATAGTGTTTTGGAAAGCTCTTGAGATGGGCTATAAGAATATGCAAAAGCATATAGGGTATCCCATTTAAAAAGTTGGAGCTGTCCTTCGCGTGTCCTTCAGGTGGCTCTTCAAGATCAAACTAATGACACCATCTTATGTCCCCCTTGAAACCATACAACTTTTGTCTAAAACTTTTTTCAAAATAATCGACTCCAATCGAGATATTATCTTGTCTCAAGATAAATGCCCCACCCTGTATATTAAATGCAATATAGTTTTATTCATATTATAAAATCTATTTTATTAAGCCAATAAAAAACGAATGGTAACTTTTCGTTTAATTTTATAATTTATATAATCTATTTTATATAATCTATTTTTTATTTTTTTTTACATCTTGTATATCAAACATAACTCATATTAAAAAGAAAATCAATCAATGTAGGTTAATGTTCGAAATTCATAATCATTTTCTCAATGTAAAAATTCGCGTAAAATAAAATCCGCATTTTCTATAGTAAAACCCGAAAATTCGAAATTAACGGGCGTCGAGAAACTTCTCATAAAATCTATTTTCGACAAAAACTCGACCGTTCGAGTTCTCTCTCGTTTTTTTTCGACACATAAGAAATGTTTACTATAAACAGTTGATAATAACATTGTCAACCGTTGCCGGAATCTAAGCGACAGACGGACATGCGCGCCCATACGTCACGATCAGCTGATCGCCAATCAGCTGATCGAAAAGGATCATGCGCATGGCAACTCTTAAAAATCTAACTCCTGACCTCATCGGCGGCCAATTACGAGCGGCGCCCTGAGATCACTGCCAAATTCTGAAATTAATTGGTCCACGTCGCAACGGGGCCCAAAATCGAGTTCGATATATAATGGGCCCAGCGCGTGGATCCCACACAGTCGCAGTCTCGCACTTTTCACAAAACCGCTTTCTCCGTAAAAAACCGCTTCGCTCAAATCGCTTTGTTCAACCGCTCTTAATATACGACCGCTTGTTCACTCGGATTCTTCTTTATTATTTCGGTATCTGAAATATATGTAATTTTGTGTAAAACTCTTTTATTTACTTGTGTGGTGTTTAAAATAAAAATTCTATGAAAAATACAAAAAAATATACGTGTCGTGGCTTGTGATCATTCTCAATCTTGTGATATCTTTAAACTGTAGTCTTCGTATCGCGCCTCCCGCACAGTGCGTATTTATTCGCGAACAGTTAACAAGAGTCAATCATGAGGATTCATAACAGCTTTTAGTAAGTAGTAGAAGCGAAAGTGTAGCTCTTTGCAATTATTAAAACAATTTTGTCTAACGATTTGATTCTTTTTCATGATAGGTTAGTTAACTCTTCTCAATTTTACGTAACTTAAATTTTTTTCAAAAATTTGCCGATATTACTAAAGTTCTATCAATGTTTGTATTTCAAGCATAAAAAGGTTAAAAATGTTGTTTCTTTACAATTATTAAATACAATTATTAAATATTAATCGTAGAAATTATATATATTCTTTCATTTATCCTTGTCAAGTTTTTTCTCAAGTGTCCTATATTTATATTTTTAACAATCAAATCCTGAAAATGATAATATAAACCGATAGTATAAATTGATAAGAATATGTGCATATAATTGTATATGAATTGATATATGTACAATGAAAATTAATATAAATTCTAGCAATTGTTATTGAATGTATTATCGATCGAAATATTAACGTTAATAGATACATTTTGAAGAATGTTTGATAAACAATTTTTTTATTAGACAGATTTTCTATCTCGATCTTTAGCTCTGTTCTGTTATATAATTAATCTTAACACAAAGAAGTAATGCTAACTTTTTAAATTAATTTCTTAAAATAAAATCTACTAAAATCTTATTATATATCAATAAATATTATAAATATCACAAATATCTAGAAATATAATAAAATTTTAGAAATTGAAGAAAAATAACATAAAAATTTATTGAAGTGTCATCGTATGTATATATTAATGTAGCGGATAGTAGACAGAAAACTTCATTAAATTAAAAAATTGTTATTTTTAGAAATAATAATCATATATATAATTATATATACAGGGTGTTAAAAAAGTATCGCATACGCTTAGTACCATCCGATAGAGAAGGAGAATTTAAGAAAAAATGTCTAATAGTATTTTTCGATCCCATGAATAATTTCGCCGCAATTAATTATTGTAATCAATTAATCAGCGCGGAGCTACAAGAGGAAGCCAGGGGCGAAGCGCGCGAAGTCTGGCGCGACGGCTACCGCGCTAGTCGTCGCGCCGCAGACTTTGCGCGCTTCGCCCCTGGCTTCCTCTTGTAGCTCCGTGCTGATTAACTGACTTACAATAATCAATGCGGCGAAATTATTCATGGGATCGAAAAATAGTATTAGACATTTTTTCTTAAATTCTCATTCTCTATCGGATGGCACTGAGCGTATGCGATACTTTTTTAGCACCCTGTATATATATATATATATATATATATATATATATATATATATATATAGAGAGAGAGAGAGAGAGAGAGAGAGAGAAAATATATAGTCAAATTTTAAAATATCGTTCTAATTAATTTTAATATACTATATAACATCCATTTGTAAACAAAATTTCGAAATTTTATCCATCTGTTTTTTACAACATCATATATATTTTTTACTTTTATATTGAATTGTTATATTTTATCTTATTTTATTATATAGATAGAATATATAATTTATTCATTCATTTTTAGTCACACTACTAGCTGCAATAACATTCAATTGTTTCTTAATCAAGCAAAAAATATCTCCTACCTGCGTAAAATTTAAATCCGAATACATGGAAATACTTTCTTCCTGAAGGATGTTTGAACTGTTATCATCCTTCGGCGTGATAGTTGCCTTTGTCAATATTAAACCTTTCAATAAAACACATAAAATTGTTCCAAACATAATTTGCATTTTTGATCAACGTTTGCACTCAATCAGTTTCCGTTCAATCCTCAATTACTTGTTTTTCTCACTCTACTAATTCTGATGTGTTAATCGAATTGATATTAATTCACATATATACATATTTTTTCGATAAATTCTTTAAAACTCAGTTTTAACAAATCGCAAGTTATTATCTTCTAATATTATGTTTTTAGATTTCGCTTTATGGTCGCGATCACAGTATATTTCTTAAGATTAAATTAGAGAATTCTTAATAAGTAAATAATTTCTGTGGTACATATTCATTGGATTGTATTGCGAATATAATTATTATTAGCTTTCCTTTTTTATTAATATTATACAGGAATATAATTATTATTAGCTTTCCTTTTTTATTAATATTATAGTAGAAAACAGTCTATAAAAAGATAACCACAATCAAATTACAAACGATCAAAGAAGTTATAGAATTATAGATCTTGTAACATTTTGAGCCATATTCAAACACACATAGCGTATAATCGAATTCACTTCAATATTTGCTATATCTGTTATTAAATATTATGACAATTCGTTCGTACGATTATGTTATTATGTGCTATGCTTTTTAAAATCCACTATTCATACACAATTACACATTTTCCCTAATCTTCATATAATGCTGTTTGAATCGAGCGATAAATAACATGGTAGCGTTTGACTAGCAATCACAGTAGTAACTGAATGGTCAATCCGATCAGTTACCATGACGTCTTATTAACTCCAATCTGTTTTAATTTATTTTTCTCCGCGGAGATACTCGTTATTTCACAAGAAATAAGAAATTTCAACAACAAAAGTAATTCTATATATAAATAAATATAGTTATATACATATAACTATTTAATAAATTTTATTAAACTTTATATCTTATTAGCTTCTTATATTAATTTATTTTTGTGTAACTTTCTTTTTGGCATAAGAAGAACATTTATTATATAAAAAAATATTCTGATTATAAGAAAAGTAATAATGGACTCAAAAAAAGTGATTTACACGTTTTCTGTACATTCACATAATGCATTTTGAATCAAGCAATTTGTAACGCGGCAGCGTTTTTACACTAATATAAATAAATATACAATAAATGTACTATAGCACGTAAACTGTATAAATAACTGTATAAATAAAATAAAATAAATAATTAATTCTACGAGCTATTATTATCGTTATTTGTACTGAATAATCTTATATAATAACTTATACAACTTTATAATTAAAATAATATAATATATTATAATAACTTATAATATTAATTACTTTATTATTTAAATTAACTACTGTAATTTTATATGTGGCAACATTTATAATATGCACTAGTGTACCTAAAACTAAATTTTCTCTTTCTCTCGCTATAAATCAATTACTTTATTTCTAAAAAATTGAGATAAACACGTTAATCACATTTTGTTAAATAATATTGAAAATAATTATATGATATTAACCAGTGAACTCTTCTTGTGACTCATTCATATATTAAATAATATATAACATTTTTATTTCCAAGAATGTTTTTGTATTATTAAAGAGACATTCTGCATAAGAATATTTTTAATAATTTCAACAAGTGTTTATATAATGTTTTCTTTAAATGGATGTACAATAATATATATATTTTCACAAATATTTATAAATTTAAATTTATAAAAATTAAATTTATAAAAATTTATTCTCTTTAGAAATAATATCAGTACGTATACAAATTTATATATATAATTTGAAATAGGAAAAGCTGCAAAACATAATGTAAAAAAGACTTGAAAGAAAATTACAATTGTATGTGTTAATATTTATAAATTTACAGAATAGTTAATACTAGTTAATACATTAAAGCGCAAATCTTACATAAGATACAAAAATATGCATGTCGAATGTTTAATGAAATATTGTAAAGAACAAACGTTCCAATATTAATATCTGTTTACAATTTATTCCTCTATAATTTATTTATATCAGTTTGATAACTATTGGATTCAATAAATCAATGTCACTTCTAATAAAATATTTTGGAGAAAAGATTTAAAGTTTGATTTAATTTTCGCTGTATTGCAACAACAGATTATTAAAATCAATGGATAGTTAATTCTTTAACTACCATCAATTGTTGTCGTCAATAGACGGCGAGACATTTTATGAAACACAGCTGTCGTCAATAATTACTTTATGATGTACTGTGACACCTATTTCAATTTCAGTTTCAATGATTCTGTTTATGTGACGTTATCTCGGGTCTGCAATTATTTATTTTATTTATTTAATAATTTCATTTATTTATATTGCGAATCTCTTTCTTTCTCTCTCTCTCTCATTCTAAATTATCTAAATTATTTAAATTTTCAAATTATATTAGTATAACATATAAAATATTCTGGAATTTATTTTAATATACTTAAAATATCTATAAATATTCTAGTATTAATTAATACTTTTATATAGATAATAATATTTTATAAACTGCTTTACAATAATATATTATTTAGATATTTTATGCATAAAGCTCCATGATGAATTATTTAATAAATAATCAATTTTAATTAATAAATTAAAACATTTTAATAATTTAATATTCCGCGTTAGTGTATATTTTATAATATAAAAAATATCTCGGCAACGAATTATCGATAATACGATGTTCGACTTAGGCAATATAAAATAACAGTAGCGCGCTCTGTTAGGGCTTTGTCATTATTCGCATGGTGACACTCGAATAATAAAGTAGTGGTGCGAAACGCCTCGTATATTGTAATTTAAACACGACTACGATTAGTATCAAAACATAATTTGCTATAATTATTAATAATTAAAAATTAATTATCTTTTGATAAACAACATAAACATGTTCCACAACGATAAATCTTTATCGAATCGCATCATTCATTACTACGAATAAAAATGGAAACAGAGAGTACATAAAAGGGGATAAGAGAATTAATTATGTTACGATTTTTTGATCATTGATGCTTATTATAATAATATTTCTTTAAAAATATTATAATTAAACATATTTCGATCAATGCTTTAAATTTTCTTAACCGGCAATCCTTGTTAATTATACAATAGTTATATATCACGATATATCATTAATTTAATCTTTTAATCTTACGATACGTTAATATATTGGATATATAAGATATATTCATATGTTAAAATATTTCCATAATGAATTAACAATAACATAGTATCCTACCTTGGCAATATAAACAGTGAGCTAATAATTTTGTTTTACGATCTTGTTTTGTAAATTTAAATTTATATACTTTATTACAAAATAAATTCCGAATTATATAATATATTATATTATATATATTATACAAAAAAACCTTACAAAGGTAAAAAAATACGCCAAGTACATAAAAAATATTCCACCTTGTATGCAACAAAACGTTTAATAAAAAAAATACCCTTATAATAAATAATTTATAAAAATTTTCCCTCAAAAAATATATACAATAATTTCCCTAAATATATAATTTTCCTAAAAAAAATCAAAACTAAATATGAAATCAATGATTAATTAGCTAAGTACATTGAAGCAATTGATAGGGATTTGTAATTTGAAATATTTGTCACAAATTCAATCTTGTATTTATATATTAGATTCTCGACAAAATAAAAATAATTTTCAAAATAAGTAAGTTCCATGTAAATTTGGAACTAAAAAAATTAACACCAAAACAACTTACAAAAACTTGGCGTGCTCGGGTCACATTATAATACATATAATTTTACAAAGTTTGTGAATTATATACCTGTAATTAATTTCAATTATAGAAATATGTGAATTACGACCCGAGCACGCCAAGTTTTTGTAAGTTGTTTTGGTGTTAATTTTTTTAGTTTCAAATTTACTTGGAACTTATTTTGAAAATCATTTTTATTTTGTCGAGAATCTAATATATAAATGCAAGATTAAATTTGTGACAAATATTTCAAATTACAAATCCCTATCAATTGCTTCAATGTAATTGGCTAATTAATCATTGATTTGATATTTAGTTTTGATTTTTTTTAGGAAAATTATATATTTAGGAAAATTATTGTATATATTTTTTGAGGGAAAATTTTTATAAATTATTTATTATAAGGGTATTTTTTTATTAAACGTTTTGTTGCATACAAGGTGGAATATTTTTTATGTACTTGGCGTATTTTTTTTACCTTTGTAAGGTTTTTTGGAAGGATTTCACATCTTTTTGTAAAATTTATTTATATTTCTGCAAAAAAAATATATGCATTTTTAGCACTTCTAGGCCAACTACACTTTTGTACTACTAAATCATTTATTAATTGTCATCCGGTATATTACTATATATTATACGTCAAAATTATTGATTTAATTAAGTTTTTATCATTACATATTTACTATTATAGATTTCATTATTATTGCATTATTTATTATAAAATAAAATTTTGTTTCACGTATAAAGAATCAAAGAAAATTTTAGAAGTTCAGATTTAATTAAAATAAAACATGCTGCAATTCTGTCATTGTATTAGATTTCTATCTTAAATAAAATGAAATTTAAAGTGAAATTTAGCCATTACTAGGTTTAAAGAGAAAAAAAAAGAAGTTAAAAATTCGAAAACTTAAACAGATATATATATATATATATATATATATATATATATATGTATATATATATATATATATATATATCGATACGCAACAAACTTATATTAAACTTTTACTTATATTACTTATATATATATATATATATATATATATATATATATATATATAAAATACGTAATAAGTAAATAATAATAATATAATTATCATAAAAGTTTAATACAAGTTTGTTGCGTATCGTAATAAATATTATTTAATTAATGTATTTCGTGATTAGTAACATGATAGTAATTTAACACGTGTTTACAATTCATTTTCCTTTTTTTGCGTCAACTTCTAACGCCGGTGGCTTTACTTGCCTTTTTGTGTATTTGTTTTTATAGTAACTATATATATTTTATCTTTGATCATAACTGTTAAACTTTTAAAAAAGAATACCTTGGAATTTTAATTTTAAGTACATCATATATTTTATCAAATATATGATGTACTTAAAATTGACATACGCATATTTGATATACGCAAAATAATTGATTGAAAATAATCTCTAAAATATATAATTGTAATTGTGCTGTAATTTTGTGCACGTGTTCAATAAAGTCAGAAACATTATCAATCCAAGTATTCAGCACCATTCTTCGGAGATTAAAATCTTTCACTCCGTTAGCTAAGAGATTTTTTCCTTTTCAGAGAGCGTTAGTGATTGCATTAAATTTAATTTTGCTTCGTCGTCAATAAATCAATAAATTTTTCTGTGTGTAATTTTCAAGCAAGCGCTAATTCTTGCCAAAGTTGCGGTGTAAGATTCCTTTCGTTCAAAATATTGTTTCAATTGGAATTTGAATTCCTCCCAAGTAGACACAGATTCGAATGATTGACGATTATACCAATTTAAATTAAAGTACGTTCTTTTAATTGACTTACGGCAGCCAAGAGCAAAACATCACTGCTAAATTGATATGTCTGTGCGATATTAGCGATTCTTTTAAGCCATCGAACGACGTTTTCGTCTTCTTTTTCCGAAAAAGTAGGAATTAGTTTCTCAGCACATTTTACACGCTGTCAAATGTTAAAAGAATTGCCATTTGATTCACGCATATCACTTATAATTTGATGAGACACATTAGCAAATGAAGATGAAGGGGCCTGTTGTAACGCTTGCACAACCGACTTCACAATAAATTGAATATCGGGTAAAGAGCTGATATTTGGCGGATTTTGCATTCTTGCTCCAGATAATAGACGCTGTATGCATCATAGACTGAATTGTTGACATCTCCGATCTTTCTGCGTGAGGTTCACCCGATGATATGGTGGATGAATCACTCCTAGGTTCTTGGGTGCTTTCCGTTGATGACTGTCCATGTGATTTCTGGCCATCCTTCTCGTTCATAATAATTTATAAGAGACTCAAAAATATTAGAACGCGCTCCTCTTGTATCGATTTTTAAATGCGCTGCAAGAGCTCTCAAATCGTTTATCGATAATGATTCCAATTTCTCTTGGTTCATATTGATCCTTCAACTGGTTAAAGATGGCACCGATAAATAAATCTCACAAGTGAAAGTATGATCGATAATCACAGAAATCTTTTGTTATCAATCTTCAAGATTTGGAAACGGTATCAAAATACGAAAAAGATAGTGATATGAAATTAATATAGCCCTGATATAAAGATGGCTTTCCAAATTTGCGCTTACCGGCAATATGGTTGAGTCAGTAATTTTGGAGCAAGATCTAGAATGTTCTATATGATGTACTTCCGGTTCGAGAACTTTCTCTGATAGCACGTGCTCATTTTATTCTCTTTTCGATATTCTCGATATAACTGATTAATATATTCTGTAAAAACAATTGCTGCGTTCATTACATACGACAGTTATTCACGAAAATCTCACGCAAACAATCTGGAATTATTTCTTAACAAAGTTTATCGTAGGTAAATCGCTTCTGAAAAACTGTGGTTTTGTAGCCGTTTATTCAAATTGTGGACGTTGAAATAAATGTTCACTGGTACAGAAAACCTTTTCACTAACAGTTTGATTTATTAATACAAAGTTTGATTAATACAAAGTTTGATTTATTAATCGACAGCACATTTATCGAATTATAAAAATTGACCAAAAAGTCGATACATTCGACAATCCTTCGCGAACGTTCTACAATTACTCTCGGCAGGCCTTCGCCAAAATCGTGCGCAGTGTTAGACGATTCTTCGCTAACTGTTCGAACATCGCAATCAAATTTTCGGTTATCGCGACAAGTGGTGCTGAGCTATCATAGAGATAGCGTGGGGCACGCATTCCTTAATATATATACAAGGTAGGGCCAAAGTTCCGGATCGGATAAATAGAAAATATTAATTTTTTGAAAAAATGGTTTAGACAGAAAAAAATGGCTTAAAACATCTATTAGCTGATGGTATTTATTTGACCTTGGAAAGCGCGGTCAAGAACACTATAAAAATTATAAATGGCAACTCCTATTTATTATTACATATATAATTAAATATTTTTTCATCAAGTACGTTCCAAATTATGAGGCTTGAAATCATTTCTCAATTTTATATGAATCATAAAATATCTTGAAAAATATTCATTTTTCGATTATCTTACCTTAATACTTTTATGTACAAAATAATGAGAGGAATCAATTGGTGTAAAGAAAACACATAGTTGTTTCAAAGAAGAAATATGTAATTTGCAATTAATAACTTGGAAAGATTTGATGAAAAGATATTTAATTGTAGTGTTTTGGAAAGCTCATGACCTCAGCTGTAAGAAAATGTAATAAAAAATAGGGGTTGCCATTTAAGATTTTTATGGCGACTGCTCTTACCACTGAGCTATTCCGACACCGATATCATTCTCGCCTATTTGTTTATAACTCGGAAAATGAAATGCGATCTTTCAGCTACGCGTGAATTAAACTAAATCGAAAGGAATTAGGCTCGTTATGTATTAAACAACAAGATAAGAAAACTGGCGTCTCCGAGCCACAGCGGATGGTAATGCCTAAAAATTCTTTAATTGTACGCGAAAATTTAAACGAGAACAAAGCATATGCATATATTTATCGCCCGGCAAGCGAAAGACTCGGGTTCGATTCCCGATTCAGCGACTTCGCCCCGATATTTTTCTTGTCTACGTCTCTTCAGAGAGGTAAAGAGGGTTTTATAGAATTCTCAAAAATGAGAATCTATATATCTTGGTAAATGCATCAAGTAAAATATATGTATATGCCTTGTGTTATCGTTTAAATTTTCGCGTACAATTTAAAGAATTTTTCAATTCCTTTCGATTTAGTTTAATTATTTAACTTGTTCTCTTCCCTGAGATTGCACTAGGTCCTATCCCGCATAACAAGAATTAAATTCCTTTACCGAAAAAGGACCACCGAACGAATAGGCGTAAAAACGCAGAGTTAAACAGACCTTCGGTCGCTGACCTGTATCAGGCCCTTCACATTCGTTCGACCCGATCCATACACACGCCCGAATAAAGTGTGTCACGAGGTAAGTAAGTTATGTTCTTCCATACAGCTCATCCTTTCAGGGTCTGGACCCTGTGTATAAGTGATAATACACAGTAATAAGTAATATACAGTAATAAGTGATAATACACTGATTCACTTTCAGAGAGTTCGTCCTAGTTTTTAGAACATATTATTATATTTGGAATATTATTAAAATTTTGATTACGAGTGAATAGACCTTGCATAGCTATTATAATTCTAATTTATAGATATTTCTTCATCTTTTTTCACCTCTGCTTCTGGAGAGTAGTATTATAGCTTAAACGAAGCGATTAATTTTAGTCATACTAACGATTAATTTTGGTTATTCTCAAATGTATTCCATGCTTTGGTGCTAACATAGTTGCTTTGGGATTAATTATGTAGGGTATTTGCGTTTTATCGCAAACCTCAACTTTATAGTTGCGTAGAATCTTTACAAGACCAATCTTTGTTTGATAAATGGCAAAACGAGCACCTGAAAATAGAAAATTATTATTATAAGAAAAGTTTCTCGATTAAAATATTGTTACATGTAAATCAAAACAAACAAAACTTGAAGGAAATGTATTTAAATCTACGTGTTTTATTTTACCAATGCAATTCCTTGGTCCATCACCAAAAGGTAAATAATGCATCGGATGTCTAGCTTGCACTGCTTCGTCATTAAATCTTTCTGGATCAAAAACATCTGGCTTCGGATAAATATCCGGATCTCGGTGAATCGCTAAAACCGGAATCCATACCTTTTGATCCTTTGGTATATCAAGTCTGGCACCATCGAAAATATAACTTGATGTAGATTGTCTTATAAGAATTGTCACTACCGGATATTTTCGTAAAGTTTCTGCATATATTAAGAATAATGTAAGAAAGAAATTATTACGTAAGAAAGAATTATTTGAAATGTTATTTGTGAAATGTATATACATATGTTTTAAAAATTAATTTATTAGTAATAAAACTGTTGATATTATAGTGACACTGAAACTCAACAGCATATATTTCTTTTATTGAATTTCTTCTTTGAATGACGTACCTTTGAAAACTTTATCCAAATAATTCATTTTTTTAATTTTCTCATATGTTAAATTGCTATCATGGTTAGTGTACTCTTGATCAATTTCCTCACGTAGCTTGTCTTGTATTTGTTCATTTAATGCTAATTCATAAAGTGCATGGCTCATGGTCAACGATGAAGTTTCAAAACCGGCAAGGAAAAATACGAACGCTTGAGAAGCTATCAAGCTGTCGGTCATCTCTGAAATGTGATATTTTTTTATTAATTCTTTTTATTAATTATGATTTTCATTGAATATTAACAATTACGAAAAAAATATTTATTATTTAACAATTAATGTTCAATACTTTTAAAAAAACTTATTATAAGTTTATGTAAACTTATTATATATTCGGTATTATATATGCAAAACTCATAAATAATTTATAATTTTTGTTTAAAAAGTTTTTCCATCACACAAAATTTTCATGATACTAAATAACTGTCACTCACCGATATCGCCCATTTTATCTGGATTCTTTTTTAATTCGCGCAGAATATCAATGAAATCATGTCTAATGATATTATTGGTTTCTCTGTAATTCATCATTTCTATGACAACGCGCATGAAAAATTGACTGGCCTGCGTTTGTAATGATATGATATAATTGAGTATTTCGGAGAACCGTGGCATAGATTGTTTTATTGTCGCCCGTAAAATACTTTTCCAAGTTGGCGTGAAGACCATTCTTCCCATCCTACGAAATTCGCTGTCTTCGTCCGACAGAGCATTCATTTCGATGCCAAAAGCACAAGTACCGATTACATCAGTCGTATATTTTGCCATTATTTCACGAAATTCTATAGGTTCATTTTTGCTCACTAATTTTTCTATATATTGTTCAAGATGATCTGCGCATTCCGATATTAATGAGAACATCTCTTTTAGTTTACCAGATGTAAAAACGGGCGATAAACATGTTCTTAAAGGTCGCCATCTTTTAGGCTCTAAACCAAAAAGATGTTGTGACAGTGGATCAACCTACGATATAATAAAAAACATAATTATAATTAAATAACATTTTTCATTTTTATTAAATTATAACAATTTGATTGAAGGAATACAAGACTATTTAAAACTAATATGATTTTTCAATGGTTATCAGAAAATGTTAATTTGTTAGAAAATATTGTAGTAAAGAATATAAAAATATTGTAGTAAAGAATATAAAATTATCACACTTATATAATTCGAAATACATTTATGTATAGGAGACCGGGGACAAAAGTATCATTTTTTGTATTATAGGTCACTAATTAATTATCGTTAGAGATATAAAAAAAAGATTATATGTTGAAAAGCTCTACATTTATTGCTCTATTATTATACCTATGTTTCAATCTCAAATGATAGATATTTAAAGAGCTACTGTAGTTTTTCGCAAGTACGTTGATTATTAACTTTTATCTTGGGGGGACCTGGGACGAAAGTCTAACATAGTCTGGGGATAAAAGTATCAGTTCTTATTTTCGGAAAAATAAAATAAATATGACTTTTTTCAACTTAAGGCAACTTTTATTATAATCTTTTAATAAGCAAGATATCTTTTTTATAAATTTATATTATATTATATTAAAATAAAAAAAATAAATATTTATTTTTATTATCTTTGAAAAACTTAAAAGAAGTAATCTTCGTTAAGCAAAATAATTATAAATAATATCATAAAATAGGTATACTTAATACCACACCAGTCTTGTACTTTTTTAAGTCTAAATAATAATTTAATTCAAAATAATAGTGTAAAAATTGCATAATAACTACTTATATAAAAGAGATTGGAATCTATTCCGAATCACAATTATGGCATACGTAATAATAATCGCCTTTACAGTTATTATGGGACTTATACTTTAAGCCCTTATACTTTAAGCATTGAAACATGTTATTTTCGTCCACAGAGTATCGTGTTACTTTTGTCCCCGGTGTTCCCTATATAATTCGAATATTTAATATAATTTAAAATATTTGTACATACTTTTTCACTGCCACGAGGAAATCCTCTATCGGCGAACTTGGAAAAATCTTTGATAAGAATATCCTTAATTAAATCTGGATTTTTTACAATAAGAATGGGTGTCTTTCTATTGAATATTCCAATCATGGATTCATTTTTGTACTCATTGTATATTTCCATTAAATAAATACCTGGGAGCTTTTTACCAAGCATAACATCTTTAAAATTACCAAAAATTGGTATCGGTTTTGGACCGCGAATACCACGTGATTTCCAAAAGTCATAGTTTGATGTAAAATAATAGTAAACAACAAGAAGTACGGCAGCAATTCCACATAGTATTTCAAAAGATCCCATTGTTCTGTAGCTACCAATCAATTATTTCGAGCGATGTTTGCTAAAAAAGAAAAAATAATATTTCGTCTAAAAAGCTCATTTTAGAAAATTTAATAAAAAGTTTGATAAGTTAAATATGTTTAACGAAATATAAATTTGCGCCAACTAATTTTTTGATCAGATTTTATCGACATCAATAGATCGCTTATAGATATTGTAGGGATAATAACAGTAGGGAAATTATATTGATAAGTCACCCCTTGTGTAATGGTTTCCGATTCAAGAATATTCTCGTTTATATTCAAATGTTTATATTTGCGAAATTACTTGCAAAAAGAATCGGTCCTGAAGATAAGTTGATATGTTGATTGAACGTTAGTCGTTGACGAGCCGCGAGAAATATTACATATAAAAGACGATAAGCGCTATCAGAGAAACGTTGTCAGACTTATCAATTTCTTCGCTATCTATATTCTGTTTCTCAAATATATATACAGAGTGTGTCAAAACTTTAGAAACGGCCAATTATCTCCGAAATAGTGGTCCTGTGGAAAAATGTTTGTGACGTTGTAGGGTTTTAAGTGATGCATTATGTAATAATATTATTATATTTATAACCTTGAAGAGTGTTGTCAAGGTCACGTGAAGGTCAATTCACAATTACATATTTTTCTTAAAAATAATTAGTGTTTTCTTTAAAATGTGTGTTTTCTTAAAAATAATTAGTGTTTTCTTTACACCCATTGATTCATATTATTTTACGCATAAAAGTATTAAGGTAAGGTAATCAAAAAATGAATATTTTATTAGATATTTTATGGTTTATGTAAAATTAAAAAATTATTTCAAGCCTCATCAAATATTTAATAAAAAAATACTTTATTACAGTATTTTGGAAAGCTCTCAAGATAAGCTATAAAAATATACAATAAATGTACTTTTTGAGTTATGAGGCTTGAAATAATTTCTTAATTTTACATAAACCATAAAATATTTAGTAAAATATTTATTCGATTATCTTACCTTAACACTTTCATGTATATAATATGAGAGGAATCAATTAGTATAAAGAAAAAACATAGTTGTGTTTAAAAAAAATATATAATTGTCAATTGTAAATTTACATAATTTGTAGAAATTTTTTTGTTAATAACTTTTTAATACAAACCGAGCGACGTCTAAAATTTTTTGACTGTCAGGACAGTGATCTTGACAATATATATCAAGGTCGTCTTGATTCGACCCTGATATCTTTTTCTAAAGTTTTATCGAACTTTCTTAAACTGTAACAATAAAACTACTTTGAAAATAATTTCATATGTTGACAAATTGTTAAAAAAAACAGCTTTTAAATTGTAACGCGCTCTAACGTCATGCAAATTACTTTGATTTAAAATTTACCAATATAATTTATATATATATATATATATATATATATATATATGCAATAATAAATAAAATTTTATTTTATGATTTTAATTAATGCATAATATTATGGTCGAATTAAAAATAAAATTTTATACCTATATGACTTAAACTCACCAAATTGAAGTGTAATCAACCAAAAGAGAAATATCATTCGTTCATCTTAATATATTCTATCATAAAAATGAAAGAATGCTGTGTTTAATAGCAAAATAGGAATAAAGTGGGCTCAAAGAATGATATAAAAAAGTTTTTAAATATACAAAAGTTTTTAAATATAAACAACCATGCATATGACACTCATTCTGTATAAAATTTGGGATTAAACAGTGTTTCAATATTGTGCTTCAAAAATAACTCGCGTACTGTTACAAATCCATATTAACACAACGTAATAAAATTATATTGTTCGTAATAATATCGTTTTCTATATTAAAATTACAAATGTATCTAACATCAAACTGACGTTGTCTATGGTGCGATTATGTACATTAATGGTTAGAAACACGTTACATCTTTTTCAATCAATATGATATGCGAAGTCATTATCTTTCGATAATTCACATTTTTTTTTGTTCTCAAGTGAACAATTTCCGTGTAATAATATGATAAAATATGAAAATTGAGGAAATTGATTGTTACCTTTTTGGCGAGACAGGGAATAGATATTCATTTTGAAATTATTTTTCAAAATATTATTAGGTTTAATAGTATATATTTAATAATATATTATACGTTTTGAAATATTCCGTTTTGCGTAATTCCAAGCCTAGGTAACATCTAAATAAACGATGAATATAACGTATTTAAATTCGATAATGTAATTGATGATTACAACAGCTGACACATCCAGAATTCAATCGACTAATTTGCTACTATGTGATTGGAAATACTACTGACTTGTCCAAATTTTATCGAATTATAAAGCGTATGCGCTATTAGAGATACGTGAATAAAAAGATAAGTCACGATGAATTGTAAAAATTATATCATCAAGATTTATCTTAAATGCAAAATCGAATATATGACTTCGTATATCATAATACCAAGATAACGTAACTGATTAAATAATTCTTAATAACACTATGCTATATGCTATTACATATGTACACTGCAACGCAATTAATAAAATCAAATCGTAAGACAAATGTCATTTTTTGGTAATTATAATTGCCTAACTGCATAGAAAACAATTAAGTGTTAAATTAACAATTATATACTTAAATTAACGCGTTCATTTTCTATACAGGGTGTCCCATTTTAAGTGTCCATCACAAATATCTCTCTCATTTTTTATTTTAGAGAAAAATGGTTCAGACATATTTTGTATGGTTTCGAGGGGACCATAAGATGGTACCATTGATTTGATCTTGAAGAGTCATTTGAAGTTACCTCAATTTTTTTAAATGGCACTTCTTATTTTTTATTACATATTCTTGTAGCTGACCTCGAGAACTTTCCAAAACACTATAATCAAATGTTTTTTCGTGAAATACTTTTCGAGTTATAAAGCTCCAAATTTACAAAATTTTGATAAAAATACAAAATATTTCGTAAAACATTCACTTTCCGATAGTCTTATCTTACATGATCCAGCCAGTCAAGGCAAGATCCGAGCATGATCCAGCCAGTCAAGGCAAGATTCGAGCATGATCCAGCTATCATTCACAACAAAAATGGAGCAATTTTTCTGTGCCTTAAGAACCTATAAATTCTAATGATTTTCATTTGTATTGACGTTTATATTGTTATCAACTTTATTATTTATTTATAAAAAAAGTAAAATGGAGCAAATTCTCCATTCTTCAAATGGAGAAATTTGGATATTATGAAAGAGCAAATTAGCTGAATTTTTTGGTACTTGAGAAATTTAATTTTTGTTTACGTTACTGGCTGAGAGCTTGAGGGTTGAAAAGACTATTTAAGTTACGCTAGAAGTTAGGCTGATCGCAGAGAACGGTCGTAGTCGTAGATGTAAAGTAAAGGTGCAATTTCATTGACGCTAAAAAGTAGCGTCAACCATTGATTGAACAAGGAAATAAGTAGTTGCTTCATTGTTTAATCAATGGCGCTACTTTTTAGCGTCAATGAAATTGCACCTTAAGACAGAGAAAAATGTATACGTAAATAGCATGTATATTTTTCTCTGCCTTACTTTACGTCTACGACTACGACAGACGTAAGCGCTAAAATCTCGTTCTTTGCCATCAGTCTTAAGGCCGCAGCACACACTTTTGCATAAGCGCATAATCATAAGCATAAGAAAATTGATTGGTTCATTTTCTTATGCATATACTTGGGGACCAATCAATTTCCTTATGCTTATGGTTATGCCACAGGTTATGCGCTTATGCAAAAGTGTGTGCTGCGGCCTTTACGCCGCATGTGACGGCACCCTGACGGCACTCAATGTAAGTAAATCCGTTGATTTTCGCTTCATGCTCCTTTCTAAGTATTCTTTATTCAATATGGATCTGTTTTTTTCAGCTGCACTGCTGCACTAGTGTAATAAGTTAGAAAGAAACAAACATACTTTCTTTCACTCTAACTAATTGCACTAGTGCAGCTAAAAAGAACAGACCCTTTAGGTTTGTTTTTTATTCTTACACTGAACTGAACTAGTTCTGCACTAGAACTGAGCCAGTGCAAGCGAGAACTGAGAGTGCAGACGGGAGTAGAAAACGATACAGTGTAAACTAGTGTAAAGCAGTGCAAAAATATGGCGCGTCACATTATACATAATGTTATACATAATATTATACATACATATATTTCAAATAAAATTATTAAAATTACTCTTATTAGATTTCACAGATTAAGATTTTCTAACCTTACAAATTTTATATTTTACTCAACAGTAACTGGTAACGATTTTTACTTTATAAATTGTGAACATTATATATATACACATATATATTGAAATATAAATTTTGTAAAATTTTTTTTGATCTAAAAAAACTTCTATTTTTATACTTACATTAACCTTTAAGTTTTGAAATTGCCGGCTATATTCAGTGCAGGAATAAAAAACACCTCCTTGGTTGCTCTACACTGCTTGCACTACCTCCAGACCTAGTGCAGCCAGTTCAGTGAACTCGTGCACTAAGTTTTCCTGCACTGGAATAACGAACGGTATCGGTTACACCAGTTCTGGAATAACGAACGCTTTAGTGTACACTTTTTGAACTAGTGCAGCCAGTGCAGGAATAAAAAACAAACCTTATGATATAGCTTGTTATAACCTTACAAAGTTGAGAAATAAACTCGCACGAGGCACAAAGTTGTATTAATACGTAATTATTAATACGAATATTTGACTAATAATATAAGTTGTAGTGCGATTGATATTTATTTATTTGTATCACATTGGTTTTCTATTTTGCGTAACAATGACAGTGAAAAATGAAAAATCAGATAATGGAAGATGATGAAAGAGAAACGAAGACGATTCTAGCAAAGAAGCAGTCATCGCAGATAATTCGCGTGCAACAACGGTTTATCAGGATCAGATATGTTTCTCAAAAGAAGAAAAGCTGAACAAAAGCGTAGCTAGTTTAATTGGAGCTAGGGGACGAGAGTCGATAGATAAAAACAAATTCGAAGACAATGTTCATAGATGCATAAAAGATAGTACCATACCCCTTATTTATTTACAAGGGTGAAATAAAAAGAGTAAAGATATAAACTTTTTATTTTCATGCTCTTACAAGTGTAAAATAATGTTTTATTGTTTTAAACATATCTAAAGAATATTTAAAGATATCTAAGAAAATAATTTTCTATAAAGAAAAATTTAATATATTTATGTATTTAATATTCATTAAATTTTGAAATAAATATAAATATGTGTACGTTTATTTTTTTGATAAAAAAATTGTTTTTTAATTTTGTTTTATTATTTTGTGTCTTTTGGTAAAAAGAATTGTTCTCTAATTTATTATTTTATATATTTTCTTATAGGTCCTATAGTAATGATAAGAGTACTGAAGATGGATTGTAGCTGTCTGGATGGTTTGTAGCTTATTATTTGAATTTAATTATATAAATCTATGATCATTTGTTTCATTGTAGTATAGAAAAATCATTAATGAATAATGTTTCAATGAAATAGATATGCATCGATGTATCTCTAAACTATGCAGTCCACTTGTAACTGGTGGATATGATTCCGAATTAAATCAAGTGAGTATATTTAGTTATTTATTAAAGTTATTTAATTAAAGTTTGTTTTATATTGTATGTTTTTGTTGATGAAATTTTTATTATGTCACTTATTATATAAAAAGCATGTGTTTTTAATTAAGATTTTACAAGTTTATTATGTATTATTATACAGGGTGTCCCATTTAACTTGACACAAGAAAAAAATGTAATTGTTAATTGCAAATTACATTTTTTTTCGAAACAATTATGTATTTTCTTTACACCAATTGATTCTTCTCATTATTTTGTACATAAAAGTATTAAGGTAAAATAAATAAAAAGTATTAGGGTAAAAGTATTAAGGTAAAATAAATAAAAAGTATTAAGGTAAAATAATCGAAAAATGAATATTTTACAAGATATTTTACGGTTTATGTAAAATTAAAAAATGATTTCAAGCCTCATAACTTGGAAAGTACGTAATGAAAATTAACTTAATTATAGTTTTGGAAAGCTCTTGAGATGAGCTACAAGAATATGCAAAAGCATATAGGGTGTCCCATTTAAAAAGTTGGAGCTGACCTTCACGTAATCTTCAGATGGCTCTTCAAGATCAAACTAATGACACCATCTTATGTCCCCCTTGAAACCATACAACTTTTGTCTGAAACATTTTTTCGTATCTTTTAAACTTTATGAGATATTTCGATGTGTCAAGTTAAATGGAACACCCTGTATACTGTGCACATGTAAAGAATAAAATTGATTCTTTTTTTAGGTAGTTATTTGTCAAGGCATGGTGCGCAATGAAAACATAGTTTACAGTGTTCTGTTACATGAAATGATTTATGTTTGACTATTGTCGTAATAAATTAGATATGAAAAAAATTGATCATCTAGTCTGTACAGAAGTCAGAGCAGCAAATGTCGGTCATTGTAATCATTTATAAGTTCAATGCTACAAGGCGATTCGTCTTTTACTAATAAAAGTAACGCATCAGGTAAATTGTTTTAAAATATTGATTTTAAAAAAGGATGATTCATTCGTCTTTATATGTGCATGCTATTTTTAATTTATAATATATATATTTATATGTAATATGTTATTTTTCCAGAATTGTGTGAAACATAAAGCTAAAATGTTAATAATGGCAGTATACACATTATCAGAAGAGGTAGCAGATGCATAGAAAGAGTATTCACAAAATGCTACAATGATTTGAAACTAATTGATAGAAGAATTTGTAGAGGAATTCAGATGATATGCCGAGAGCATATGCAGTACATCTATACGGGTATAATTGTTAAATTTTATAAAAATTGTGTCGAGAGAATACACAAATTAGTCGATTAAATTGGAAATATATGTACACACAATCTGTTTGATAATATTATTGATGATATTTGCTGATATTTATACTTATTAATAAATCAATATTATATGACAAACATTCTACTTTATTTACGGTTAATTTTTAACAAACATTTAGTAAATTTAAAGTTAAATAATTAAAATTGTAAGTTAAGACAGTATACAACAATAACATCATATTACAATTACTTTTTACTATATGGTATAAATAAAAACTTCGAAATCTATAATGATCTAATTAATTTGTGTGTACAACTTCATTAATAATCAAGTGAATAATAGTCATTGGAAATTTGACATCAGATATTTACACATCATACATTTAATATGGATGGTATAGACTTTATTAAAAGCATTTGACATTTTAATTGAGTATTTCTTTTATTCATTTATATTTTATTATATGTATTTCAATCGAAACTAGGGTTGATTATAGAAGTATTTCTAGTTATATAAATCGGCAATTTCAAAGAAAGAGAACATTAGTATTATTTTAAATTTTATTATAACATAAAATTTTCTTCTTGAGTATATCGCTTCATTACATAATTCAATCGCAAATTAATTTTATATATATAGTCTTAATCTGTAGTAATTGTCTATACTAACATTATTTAAAGAATCTTCATTTATTTCGAGATTTCAAATGGTGAAGATAAAACAAGTTTTAGTGCAGAATAAGGCAGAATAACATAAATGAAGAGTATTATACATCTATTTTCTATTTCCTCTATGTTCTCTATTTCTTTTCATCTTGTATAATTTTTATCACAAAGCTAAACATAAACATGATTTTATTATACAATCATATAGGAAGTTTAATATGAGTCAGCGTTCAATCTTTTATGATGAACTAATCTGTAAATATTTGTTATCAAAATAAAGCTATAAATAATGATTGTATAACACAAATTAAATAACGCTGATAATTACAATATTATTATTATATTTAAAAGTCTACAAAAAACAAAGGAGAAGAGGGGATTGATTTGTGTTGATAAACAATTTGCCCCAAAATTAGCAGAAAGAATATTGTTATTTCTTAAATAAAATTTATATTAGGAATAAATCTACAAGAATAATAATATTACTCGTTTTTGAATTATAAGTATTAAAAGTATTATTAAAGCTTCTCACACGTACTCAAACAGCGTACAAACGTCTTTTGGATTCCCTAAGTACGTCCTGCACGGATATAGGAGATATCCTGATGCTCTGTTTGTAGTCCTCGTACATTCTGAGGAATAGTCCTGAGGAATAGTAAATGAGCGCCTCACATAAAGCCTAGATATATCCTCAGGAGGTTCTATTTCAAAGTCCTAAAGATATTTACAGAATGTCCATAGGAAATTTTATAACTATTGAAATGTCTACGATACATCCTAAATTGGTCCAGAATATACTATTGAAGTGCTTTATATGCTATTTTCAGGATTAATTTAGGTTATATCCAGCATATTTTTTCCTACATTTTATATCAGGTTGCTAGTTTATATGCTGAATATATGTTTGTATATGCATATATAATTTTTTAAATTTAATTTTAAATTTAATTTTTTTTAAATTTCTTCTTAAATAATCCTGAAAATATATGCTGCATATAATCTAAATTAAGCCTTCAAGCATATATATATATAGTATATCAATTACATATTTTCTGAACTAATTTGGGATGTAATGAGAAACACAAAAAGATATCCTTAAAATATTTCTTACAGCCACGCAGGACTTCCTTAAGAGATAAAAAAACATTTTGAGCTGTTTTATGATCCTGAAGATATCTTGTGCTGTCTAGATAAGGAACACAAAAGGATATCCTTAAAATATCTCTTACAGTTCCGCAGGACTCTCTTAAAAGATCCAAAAAATATCATGAGCTGTTTGGCTTTATATCATATCCTGAACAAATCCCGCGTATATCCCGAGGATTTCAGGATATATTCAGGATCATCCTGAAGATATCTTGTGCTGTTTGGGTACGCGCGTGATTAAAATTCAGAAATGTAAATAAATGTTTAGATTATTGTTTGAGTGAAGGTAAACTTTGACGGAATTTTAATTTGAATATTTAGATATTAAATGATCAAATTTGGAGAATTGTGAAAGATAATAGTCTACTCTTCGACATTGTCACTAGGAAAAAATTGATTCAAAATTTCGTAAGAAATAACGCTATATAAACTTTTCGCCAATTTTGAAACATGCATGCTGTTATTGATATAAGAAATATATAACAAGCACTTGTCCTCTATGTAAGCTACATAAGCATTTTTCTTTCACAATACGTCTTTTTTTTGTTACCTCTAATGGGTTTTTTTTAGAGTGTCGTTACATAGAGTATAACGATTCATTGTGCTATAGTCTCTTTTGATTTGACGGAAATTGACAACCCTAGTCTCGACGCTAAAGCTAGTAGCCTCGAAAGTCTCCCGGCCGAGATATGTCATAGCGGGGATTCCCGTCATAAGACACCTGTGCGCTGAAGCCGTGCTGCCAATCAGCTGTGTATCGCACGATTTGCGTCCTGCCGTCCGGAAGTTGCACCCTGTATTCGCCGCGAACGATGTCGCCATCGCTAATAGCGTTGTGGGAATAATCGTTGCCGAAAGCGTCCTCCTTCACGGCGTAATTGAAGTCGAAGGGCATGCCGGGTTCGTGATGATGATGGTCGTGCTGTACAGCGAGAGACATATCAATCAAAAAGTTAGATACGTGATTAAGTATTTAGAATAATATAGAATTCTTTCTTCAAGTATTTATCAAACTTTTTCATGCATTACTTACAGCAGGCTCGATAGTATTCCTGTTGGTACCAGTCCCTTGGCCGGTATAGGGCGGATAACCAGATGTGGGGGTCGGCCTGGGTACGCCATAAGTTGGCGTCGGCCTGGGCACACCATAAGTCGGCGTCGGCCTGGGCACACCATAGGTCGGCGTCGGTCTAGGCTCGAGGTAAGTTGGCGTCGGTCTGGGAACACTGGGCGTCGGTCTAGTCCCAGGGAAACTCGGTGTCGGTCTCGATCCAGGGAAGCTCGGCGTGGGCTTCGGAAATTGCACCGGCGGCTTGCTGTACGAGTAGCCACCCTTCGTCGGCTCTGGTGGCAGATATGTGTTGCGCCGTGTGCCTGGTGGTAGATCACCAATAACATTGGCCACCGTCACGCAGAGCACGGCCAGCTACGCAGGAGAAGTCGGGATTGTTAAGAAACATGCTCTCCGAGCGAAAGAAATTACGGCGTAGTCTCAATAAAGGGACTTGCGTTGATAAGATTGACTCGAAGAAGCTTTTAATCATCCAATATATATTGTATAGTAGGGGAAACGGGTGGAACTAGGTCAGTCCGTAATGCCACCTACAAGTAACTCTACCCAACTGTCACTCACCGATTTGGATGAAATTGCGCACACTTGTAGAACATTGAAAAATATTGAACACGTATTTTTTTATTTTTTCCCAAAACGCTTTTAGGGGTGGAAACCATCCTTAAAGGGTGTAAACATCCCTGGAAATGAAGTATCGCTCTATGATTAATACGCCCAGGGTATAGATAGCAACTGAACATGTTTTTAACAAATGTTGAGACCATATATTGTACCCCAAAAATCATTTTGAGGGTGGAACCTTTTGTTTTCATCCATCGGTCTAATTTTTTTTGAAGAGTTAACTCATTTTTGAAGAGTTTCACCTCCTCCAGGGGTGAGTACCATCCCTTTCCACCTTTAAAATGATTTTTGTTGCAAACATGTCAGTCTGGGCGTATTAATCCTAGAGCAATACCCCATTTCCAGGGATGCTTACCTCTTTCAAGGGTGGTTTCCAGCCCTAGAAAGCGTTCTAGGAAAAAATAAAAAAACACGTTTTCAATATTTTTCAATGTTGTACAAGTGTGCGCAGTTTCATCCAGATCGATGAGAGACAATTGGGTAGTGTTACTTGCTAGATCTAAAAGTTCCTTTGTAACCTCCGTGGTTATCTGAGGTTATAAATAACGATCCAACTTTGTCAATATATTGTATATATCAATAAAGTTTCTTGTAATAAGGGAAAAATAGAGAAGAATGTCCAGATTCTTTTTAAATCAAACGTTACCAGTTTCGTATTTTATGAGGTTTTCGATCGTAAATAAATAGATAACATATTCTTCACCGAGACTATTAAAGAGCAAGGAGCAGAAACACCTCTCTTACGATATGATATGTAATTTTTTATTAATTTGAAGGACTTGGAACGGAGTTACACACTTGACTATACTACACGCGCGAGAGAAAGTCGTGTGAATTCTCCGAGATTTCAAAGATTAGGGGGGATTCATAATTTCGCATAATAAATCTTCTTTCTTGTCGATCTATCTTTTGTTTTAATATTTATTACTCATTAATTATTGTGTGTGCTACATTACTGCCATTCATTTAGAAGATATATTGCCAAACTTCAATGGAGGAGCTTTTACTCGACGTTCTTAAATCACAAATTTCATATTTCCCGAATAAACAGAAATGAAATCGAGATAATGCGTTACGCTTTCAAATGCGATAATACACATTCGAGTTACAAATATGGCCATTACTTTATTTCGCGACGCTCGATGCAGGCTCATCGCGTCATTTGCAATATGAATGCGCAAGACGAAGACGTGTTTTTATAATCGGAACATATGTCAGCAGTCGACATTTCGAGAAATCGTCCAGGTCCAGCTATATGAGAACGCATGTAATAAGCCGTCACGATGTCGCAAACCTGATGACAGTTTAGTGCCATCAGCGTAGACATGTATTGACAATCGGCGCATTTATGGATTCTACCCTGCAATTTTAATTATGCATCGCATGTACTTGTATTATACGCAGAATTTCAATTTCGTCGCTTGGCTTATATTCTTCAGAACTTTTCATATCTTAATATTATTATTAATATTATTTTTAGTATTTTTTTTATTAATTTTAATATTTTATAAAACATATTAAATAGTAAGACTTTTTTATCATTTTATTTTATTAATATTTTATAACACGCAGAGGCAGTATATTCTTTTAATAGAGACAACATAATTACAAAATATTATATATTTTTATTTATATTTTCTGTCGTAAGAAATGTCTAAACTTGACAGTTTAGTGCCATCAGCGTAGACGTGTATTGACAATCGACGCATTTATGGATTCTACACTGCAATTTTAATTATGCATCGCATGTACTTGTATTATACGCAGAATTTCAATTTCGTCGCTTTGCTTATATTCTTCAGAACTTTTCATATCTTAATATTATTATTAATATTATTTTTAATATTTTTTTTTATTAATTTTAATATTTTATATTTTATAAAACATATTAATTAGTAAGACCTTTTTATCATTTTATTTTATTAATATTTTATAACACGCAGAGGCAGTATATTTTTTTAATAGAGACAACATAATTACAAAATATTATATATTTTTATTTATATTTTCTGTCGTGAGAAATGTCTAAACTTGACAGTTTAGTGCCATCAGCGTAGACGTGTATTGACAATCGGCGCATTTATGGATTCTACATCTGCAATTTTAATTATGCATCGCATGTACTTGTATTATACGCAGAATTTCAATTTCGTCGCTTTGCTTATATTCTTCAGAACTTTTCATATCTTAATATTATTATTAATATTATTTTTAATATCTTTTTTTATTAATTTTAATATTTTATAAAACATATTAAATAGTAAGACTTTTTTATCATTTTATTTTATTAATATTTTATAACACACAGAGGCAGTATATTTTTTTAATAGAGACAACATAATTACAAAATATTATATATTTTTATTTATATTTTCTGTCGTGAGAAATGTCTAAACTTGACAGTTTAGTGCCATCAGCGTAGACGTGTATTGACAATCGGCGCATTTATGGATTCTACATCTGCAATTTTAATTATGCATCGCATGTACTTGTATTATACGCAGAATTTCAATTTCGTCGCTTTGCTTATATTCTTCAGAACTGTTCATATCTTAATATTATTATTAATATTATTTTTAATATTTTTTTTTATTAATTTTAATATTTTATAAAACATATTAAATAGTAAGACTTTTTTATCATTTTATTTTATTAATATTTTATAACACACAGAGGCAGTATATTCTTTGAATAGAGACAACATAATTACAAACAAAATATTATATATTTTTATTTATATTTTCTGTCGTAAGAAATGTCTAAACTTTTTGTATATGAATATTATAGAAATAGGTCAAAATAGTAGATTTACACAATGGGGGGGAGGAGAGGCTAATAGCCGGACACATGAGTTTCCGTCAAGCTTCGATTCTATCGCAATGCTATATATCTAATACAATAGAATACTTTTATTCGATTTATCGGCATCATTTCCACGCGAAAAGGACGCTCCTCAATTTTCAGAGATCCGGTGTTAAATATCGGTGAACAATCGTTCCCGTGGATGACATTTGTGTCGCGATTAAGCGCTTATCAGTTACAAATGCGAGTCGTTTCGCGAGTCGTATTATAAGCGTGTAATTTTAATAAATCAAGCGTGTCTTCTGTTACCGCTGATAGCTTGATATTTAATATGTCAAGACGTCGGGAAAATATTTTTTCCTCGGTGCAACATATCTCGCATATTACGACTTTTGATGAGATTGATGGAAATAATTATTTGTGATGAAACGTATGTCGAATGGATAAAAAAATTTTTTATCTATCGTCCTCAATGTTTTCTTGTCAATATTATTACATGTTAGTTTAATAAATCATTGAAAATTGAGGCTATAAATTAAATGTAATTTTCTTTTTCTGCGATAATTTTATATTAGAATCAATATCTATAATTAATATGAAGATTATAAACAACATTTGATTTAATTTTAAAAGTTTAAAAGTATCGCGATGTTGATATTTCTATCGCACAGTTATACTATATATATTAATTCACATAATATTCTTTTGTAACTTGCAACAAAAAAAAAGTTATGAGAAATATTTTATATATTTTAATTATTTGAAGTAAATTAATTCGATAAATTAATAAGATTTAGGTTTTGCATCAAATTTAATTAACGTTGATCGGATTTTATGAATAATATATTAAGTTATTTTTATATATATAATAATATATTTAATAATATATTAAGTTATTTTTATATATTTGAATTTTATTAATCACGTAAAAGAGAAATAATTATCACGTAAAAGAGAAATAATTATCGATATAAATGCTATCTGAAAAATTTATTAGAAAATTTTTTACGATTGATTACGCGACTGACTATAATAACGTAACTATTTACTTGGGCCAAGAGAAATTATAAAATATATAAGCAAAGAAAAAAGACAAATAATAAGATAACATAATTATTAATTGATTTGCAATTAATTAACGATATCAACCGGATCATCAGGTTGTACTCGAGAAATTTGTATAAATTGTATTTTATACAAATTACAACATCTATTTAAAAAAGACACGTGTAACAAGTCAGAAGAGAAAAGAATAATGTAACTATTAATTGATTGACACTTCTTTTGTGGAATGATTAACGATATCAATTATTAGATTGCATTCGCGAAATTTATATAAATTACATTTTGTTTTATCATTTCATACAATTTTGTTTTATCATTGTTACTTTTCTCTCATGTAAATATAAAGCACATCTCCATTATTTATACATTAGCGATTAAGATTATTGCTACAATTTTTCGATAAATAAAATGACAGGAAAACGCATGAATGTGAAGAAACGCTTCGCTTGCGTCTTCAAGAAACTGAAGACATAAATGTTCGCGATTTCGCATACGATAAGCGCCGCGGGACTCCTATAATTTTTTTCACCGACATAATAACAATTCGCGATTGATACGCGCGATTCGTCGTCGCAATTAACTCTCACGCGGCACCGTTGAAAGAAAATCGATGTGAAAGAGGAGCAGACCGAATCAATAAATGTTGGCGAAGTGTTGGTTACGGCAACTCATGTTCTCTATCTTTCTCTCTCTTTGGAAGAGAAGCGGCAGGCGAGCTGTGCTCTATTGCGACAGTAAAGACCTTTGTATTATGCTCTTAACCCTGTACTTCGAGAATGCAACGATCGGTGCGAGAGAAAGAAGGGTATGAGTATGTGTGTGTGTGTGTGTGTGTATGTATTTATGCATTAAATATAAAGTATAAATACGGGAGTGGGAAGGGAAGAAGCCTGTGTAAAGAGGCTGCGCCCGCGGGTATGCGAGGCGACTTCGCTTCAGTGATCGATCGAAATGTGGAGAAGTTACATTATGGATATTGATAAATGCGATTGCAAGCACCTCGATTTATCGATGCCGATATGCGTCACTATGCGACTATACAGTGTCATTGCGCGTCCTTTAAATCATTCCGCGATGCAACGCGTCGCGTGGGCGCGCACTGACGTTTATATTATGCCTCGCGATGATATCACCGACCATTGTTGTAATCGCTTTTCTTCATATTTAATAAGAAATAATGAGGGACGCGCTGTAACAATGACACTCGGATTGCTCGAGCCGCGTTTTAGAAACTTTTCCCGACTTTAATCCCTTCGGAAGCCAGTCTATATTCATCGATAAGAGAACATCTCCTTTGTGGGTCGCAATCTATCCCGATAAAGCATGCGTGGGAAGAAGAACTTCCCATACAGCACAGAACATTGTTGTAACTTTATAGCAATATTGTAGCAATATTGTAATATTGTTGTAACATTACAGCAATATTGCAGCAATATTGTAATATTATTATAACATTGCAGCAATATTGTAATATTGTTGTAACATTATGGCAATATTGTAGCAATATTGCAGCAATATTGTAATATTGTTGTAACATTGCAGCAATATTGTAATATTGTTGTAACATTATAGCAATATTGCTGCAATATTGAAGCAATATTGTAGCGATATTGCAGCAATATTGTAGCAATATTGCAACAATATTGCAGCAATATTGTAATATTGTTGTAACATTGCAGCAATATTGTAATATTGTTGTAACATTGTAGCAATATTATAATATTGCGACAATATTGTTGCAATATTACAACAATGTTCTATGCTGTATAAGTAATAATATTTCCCGAGAAACATTTGGGACGAATAGATACCCTATTCTCAGGAACAAAGTTTGTTGAAAATAAAATGTTGTAATTCAGGCGACAGTTTAGCTATTTTCGAACAGTATTTTACAATCGATCATCGATTTGCCGCGGATAAGAGATTAATCAAGCGAGAATTACATGGGCGACAGCTGTAAGTGATTTAACAAAGACGATTTTATCGAAATCCTCTCCTGGGGATTGAGTCGTAGCGGAGTTTAACAAACGACATAAAGGTCGCGTCGGGCAAAGAGGAAGAGCCGATCTTGTCTAATCGACCACGCGAGACATATGGCAAAACAAGTTCCTCGTGTATTGCATATTTACACATATTTATATTTTTATCGATGTTCGATCAAAGTTAATCGGTGGTCGCGGTAATTCATACTCAGGGAATTCTAGGAATTTAAATGTCTCGTGTGTATCAATGAACTTGTACTATCACGCACGAGTAACGCTGTCTGCTTCTGTTTCAAATATGCCGACACTTTTATCAATCGATAAATTACCACGCTGACTTTTAATGCGATAGATTACCATAAACCGCCGTTTGTAATTATAATGAACGAGGAGAGACGGCTGTAAACAATAAAGCAAGAGCCACGTACGATGCCTCTCCATAATTCATACTTCCGGCTCGATTGATTCGACGGATTCTCTTTCATCACGCGAGATTACTTGCAAAATTCTACTTGTGCGATTTTTCAAACCGAACGGCATTTCTATTACTTGATTGCTAATCCTGACGCAGGACACGTGGGCGGAAACGAGCCCTGATGCAACGTCTTACACCTACTAAATAACGCGGATTCGTCACGATATGAAAGAAGCTCGCGATCTCGCATAACTAATTTTGCGATATAATGAATGAATAATGCAGATATGAGAAAAGGCTGAATTTTCTTCTTCATCTCACCTGTAAATAGTACATCTTGCGGCCACACTAAGTGATGAAAGTCGACGTGCTGGAACCACGCTAACTCGCGTACCCGTTAGCGGTGAAACAACAACCCTTTAGGGGACAATCAACGCACTGCGAAAAAGTTTTTCAAGTTAGCACTCTACTGAGGGGAGGTCGGCGATTTTTGCTATGCGAAAGAAGATAGCGAGAGACGTTTTACGATCGTATGAATGCGCGATGGAAAAGGGCATATGCCTCGAGAACGGCGATTATTTTCGCATTATTAACGATGACTCTTTTTACAATATATCATCTCTCGTCTTCTAAAGATTATGCACTGAGAAAAATCGTTTGACTGTACCAACAAGATATGTATATGATTGAAAACATTTTGGTTAAATCCAAAATATATTTTTTCCTCTTACGAGCAGTAGTGCCAGAAAGAGGACGCTAGCTTTTTGATTGTGTGTGTTTGAGCTATCCTCTTCTTGCATCACTGTTTATCAGTTTAATTTCTAACGAATTGCATTTAAAATAATTTATTCAATAATCTGGACTGAATTTATCCAATAATCTTGTTGGAATTCAGAATATTAAACGGACTTTTAAGATTGGATGGAAAAAATTTTAGACGACTTAGTGCTGGCGAGTTTAGTATTATTAGCCAGAAAATTTGGTAAATTTAACAGGAAGAAATTAATCAGATTCATCTGGTAATTCCTATAAGAATTCTGATTCGTCCATTTTCCAACAGACATACTGGTTGAATCTACCAGAATTATAATTAATGAAACCAGATTTTTTTCTCAGTGCACTGTTTATCATGTTTAATTTTAACAAACTGAATTTAAAATAATTTATTCAATAATCTAGATTGAATTTATCCAATAATTTTGTTGGAATTCAGAATATTAATCAGACTTTTGAAATTAGATGGAAAAAATTTTAGACGACTTGGTGCTGGCGAGTTTAGTATTATCAACCAGAAAATTTGATAAATTTAACAGGAAGAAATTAATCAGATTCATCTGGTAATTCCTACAAGAATTCTGATTCGTCCATTTTCCAACAGACATACCGGTTGAATCTACCAGAATTCTAATTAATGCAACCAGATTTTTTTCTCAGTGCACTGTTTATCATGTTTAATTTTAACAAACTGAATTTAAAATAATTTATTCAATAATCTGGATTGAATTTATCTAATAATCTTGTTGGAATTCAGAATATTAAACAGACTTTTGAGATTAGAGATGGAAAAAATTTTAAACGACTTGGTGCTGGCGAGTTTAGTATTATCAACCAGAAAATTTGATAAATTTAACAGGAAGAAATTAATCAGATTCATCTGGTAATTCCTACAAGAATTCTGATTCGTCCATTTTCCAACAGACATACTGGTTGAATCTACCAGAATTCTAATTAGTGCAACCAGATATTTTTCTCAGTGTATTAAATGTATCAATTATAAAATAAATTAATGTCGCTAGTCAAATAATCCAAGGATCGTTGAAAAAAAAGTGTAGTCGACCAAACTAGCCAGAAATTTTATTTATTAATACGACGTTTCGACCATATGGTTGTGGTCGAAAAAAAACGTTAAATTCGAATCTAGACAAAGAAAACGTTAAATTCGAATCTAGTTAAATAACGTTTTTTTTTGTCAATTTGACTTGTGCAGTTTTGCAAGATTATCTTCTATGCCTGTCTCCTGATTATTATTACATCGTATATACTTGATAAGGACCACAATCATATGGTCGAAACGTCGTATTATAACATAATAAACAAAATTTCTGGCTAGTTTGGTCGACTACACTTTTTTTTTCAACGATCCTTAAAAGTATCAAATTAGTGTTACGTTTCCAATCTTTTTTTTTTGCAACAATAATAACGCGCACATAAGTATCATCCGCTATCAAAGTTTGAGGCTGATAGTATCTCGATGCTTTTCAAAAACACAATGCGAATAATCGAAAGAAATTACACTGATTCAAAAATTAAAAAAATTTTTAATAAAAAAAAAAAGAATGCAATATTGAAGATCAATGACGATGCATCACCGAAAAAATGCCAAAATGAAATATCACCGGGGGTTTGGTAGTTTTTCTCGCGGCGAAGGGAGGAGGAGAGAGTATTCACAGACGAGACAAGCTGCGGGATTATGTTAGCACACGTGTGTATGTGTATACGAACAGAGTATGCGAATTGTCGTCGATTATTGTTGTTGTGTTGTTGTTGTCACACTCTCCGTCGCACGACTGTGAATAAAGTCGGTATGTAACTGCTCGGCATGCCGGCACGTTGGGTTTATATAGCATGGGCCTCTAATAAGACGATTCTTGAACGGTGTTGGGACCCCGGTGTAGGGGGCGAGTAGGGGGCGAGTAGGGGGACCCCCCCTCGTCGCACGGAGGGACCGACTCCCTTGCTGCGCCTTGTCTTATCTTGCCTTGCCTTGCCTTGTCTTACCTTGCCTCATCGTTGCGTCTTACCTTGCCTTACAACTTGGGAGGGTAAAGCGCGCGAGAGATCCTTTTCTCGTTAGGTCGCGATACGGTCAGCTATATAGGGTGTATCTCTGGAGGAAAAAAAAGAGGAGAGCTCCCTCATACACGTTTCCCGGGGACGCAAAAGTCAAAGTGTCATCCGATATTGAAATTTTCGTCATTTCCTAATCATGTGATATTAAATGATCAATTAATTAGAATTCAGATTTTCGCGATTTTTCATTTGTAATGATTTTTCCAAAATAATAATCTTTTTTTTTAATAATTGACGCACTTGAATCATACTAAAAGTTAAAATAAAAACAGAGAGAATAGAATCAAGTGAGATAATTAAGATTTTAAATATCTTTGAATATTTTAAATTAAAAATATAAGAATATAAAAGTGATTATAAGATAGCAATCAAAATAAAATAGGGAAAAAGGCAAAAAAACCACAGCGCTAGGTTAATGGTAGCTACAATTAAAAATGAAAGAATTTTTAATATATAATAAGTCAACACATGTTCATATAATCATAATCAGTTGACGCATAATTAAAACGATAGACGTACGTTTCGATCCCGTTCGGATCATTATCAATGTCTAACAAAGGTAAAATTCAAAATTAACGGAAAATTATAAAAACAAAATATGGATAAAAAAAAAGTCGCAATAAAATCGATATAAACAGAGATCTCACGGACGCAAACAGAATAAAAAATGGATATAAGAACGATATAAAATTATAAAAGAAAAAATAAATATAATAAAAGGCACGCGCATAATTATAAAGAAAGAAAATTAAATGGACATCTCTATTTTACATGAATTAATCATAAACATCTCTATTTTAAATTAATTAATTAATTTTTAAATAAAAACACTAATTATAAAATCAATAGGTATTTTCTAATTCTCGATGACTGTTAAATATTATGCGTATTATGTTGCAATATTTATCACACACACTCTTATTTTATATATTTATAATATAAGAGCTATTACTTCTCGTTGTATTAAAAATTTACTATTTTTATTTATTAATTAGTTTAAATTTTTATTTATTTATTTATTTATTAATTTAACTTTTTACTTATTAATTTTGATTTAAATTTACAATAAATATCAAAAATATAATAGATACATCGATATCATATTAGCAAGTCAAAATTTGGATACGCTATATGTCAATCAATGTGCCTTACATTAATCTTTCGACTGTTGTATTCTCGTAGCGAATGTGTAAAGCTCGTTAAAAATAATTTTTCTTTATCGTCGAAAAAAATAACGAGAGTTTCATTGATAACCGATCATAGATCCCGGATTTCGCGATCGGAATTTTCTTCTTTAACGAACCGCTTAGCTTAGGATTCGTTTGATGCCTGTCGGTTTGTTAGCATTTGAAGTTGCTAAACCAAGATCGAGAGATTCACAACGTCGTAGCCGATCTGTACCAGTGAATGGCGATCTTCGTCCAGTTATCTGTGAACGAGGCGAATGAAAGAGACGGCACTCAATGCAACGCTCGATGCTGCACTACAGCGTTTGATCTACGAGTTTCTAATACGACCGTCCGCGTAATCGATGGTGTAATGCGAGGTTTCGAATTCGCCGAGTTCATCTTTCATGCCTCTCCCATGACGTTTAACCCCTATGTATAATTCTTCCACGAATCAGGAGAGAAAGAGAGAAGGAAAAAAGGGGGAGATTCTCTCGCATGATATTCAATCATCGTAAAATCGCTTCCTTGTACTTTGTTAAATTCTATATCGCCCGCCTGTTCGTCGGGGCACAATAATTTGATTACGTAAGCATGACGAAGAAAAAGATAATTAACTTGTTAACGCTAATTGCAGTTAGCTGGAGATTATAACGAATTTCGCACAATTACAATAAATGATTGCATCTCTCTTGTTTAATAATACTCATGTTTCCATATTTATTTTCATATATATGTGCTATTAAATACCTGTAATTTTAAAACCCGCGATAGATTCACACGTGCGCGTCCATATATGTATATACACAATTGATACATCTGAAATAACTCTGCGGAATGTCGGTCTCCGACGAGAAAGTAAGTCCATTAGCTTCAGGATGATACCGAACGTATCATAAGGAAGACGTTCTCTCTTCCTTGATTTCCTTTAATTGATTACGGCCGGCAATAACTCGCCGATGAAAAATGGAAAATGCGCGTATGAATCATGAGAAATGTTGTGCGATTCGATCTGCAGATGCTTCGCGCGCGGATAAATCATGACCCGCGTACGCTTATTATTTATTTCTTCATTTCCGTTTCTTGTCAATCTTACGCGGCGCGGAATATTTTTATTCCTTGATTCACGTAAGATTATCGCTTTCTGCGACTCTTTGTCTCTTTGACATTCCTTGCGCGAAATTTCCTTAAAGACGTGTTCGCAGTTTCTATTAATTATTCGCTATTAAATTAATCACTGAATAAGATAAGACTTATGTAGCTAGTATTCATATGTTTATTTGAAGAAATGCAACTTCATTTTCAAATCTATATTTTAATTGCCAGAGAGAGAATGAGGAGAATTCTCAAAATATTCTTGCAAATTTTAGAAAACTTTTATTTAAAATTAGTTACCAGATTCGATAAACATTGCGAAGCAGATAAAAATGTTGATAATATTATACATAAATAAATATATATATAATAAGATGTTTTTGAGAAATTATTTAATAAACCATGGAGTAATTTTTTGTTTCATAATTTCTTTTCTGTTTCTATAAGGAAAATGATTCAATCATTAAAATCGAAACGGAAGATCAATGAGATATCATTTTTTATTTGAGAATTATCTTTCGAAAAATCTTTACTTTTATCGATGAGAGTAAAAATAATCATTGATTTATATTTCCCGAAAGCTAATTTTTCCGCGTGAAATTGCTTTGAATTATATTTTCTTTGCATACGAAATATGGAATATTGTTCGATATCATTTATTTGTCTTTTTTTCTTCCTGTGCTACGCCAATTTCTTCCAATGGATATTACGCACTAATAAATATTTTCGCGTGAAACTTATTACGCGATATAAAGAGAACATGTACGTGGAATACACATCACACAAATGTACACACATACCGTGGAAAATGCTCAGACTTGTGCAATATAATTATTCTGCATTTTGCATCGTGCCTTTTTCCTCGTGCTGAGAATCAGCTTTAAAGTGACTCGTATCAACACACATGGGCGTTGTAACATCATGAAATATTAGACGCTAAGTGTACTTCGTATATGCAAATCTGTTTTCTGCGTGGGATTTTTCTTGACGAGGTGGTTAAAGGGGAAACAGAAGTTATTCCTTATATAAGAATGATACAATAATTATATAATAATAAAATGTCTGAGAAAGTCTAGAAATCTTATATTTTTATATATTTATATATTAGATTGTATATGTTTGAAAATATATTGCAATATCATTTTATCATTCCTATTGAAAAAAATCGAATATAATTTTTAATGGATACTTTATTCCTAAAGATTACTAGAAGGATGCCAACTTGTTGTCTTATGCATATATTACATGACTTCCCTTGATGATGATTTATTCGCTTAAAAATTTACAAACACATATACTTCTCTTCTATTTATATTAAAATTAAGTTTCCTACTTGAAATCTCGTTTGACACTCATCTAACATTATAAATTAATACCATGCTCAAAGCGTGTTATTATCTGTTATTAAAGAGTAAATGTATGCTATCTCAATTTGATAATAATGAGGTGTGCTCTTTCGCGAGATCGATATCGCACTTCCCTCTTCCTTCGTCAACGTGAAATAGAAAATGCAAATGCGTGAAGATAAAAAAAAATAATATTCTTTAAGAGCTTCCTCGAGAAAATAGCCGCGAGTCGCAGAAAATCGATAATTGCAGAGCTTTTTATCCAGGCAATCGTTGTTGGATGGAGGTCACAAGTGCGCCTCATCGACAGATCTATTTTTATATATGGGATTTGCATCTTCGAGTTTGCAAAGCGAGCGGTCGGAGAAAGGCACACATGCACGATCCGGATTGTTCGACGAACGATTGTGGGCACAAGCCCAGCCTCGCTCATTCCTAATCGCTCAACGCTCATCCAGCAAGAGCAGGTCAGGGCAGGATTATTTCGAACCTTTCCCTTTGTAATTAAATCGATCATCTGTGCACCTGTTGTGTCAATAATCGGATGAGAGAGAAAGAGGCAGAGAGAGAGAGAGAGAGAGAGAGGAGAGAGAGAGAGAGAGAGAGAGAGAGAGGTACCCACGATAAAGAGAGAATAGCCCAAACAGCGATTACGTATTTCGCGTATTCTTTAATAGCGAATTTTTATTGCTCATTAAATGGCGACAAGAGGGAGACGCGATGCAAATCGAGGAATTCTCAATTTGCATTGTACGTAATATTGCGCAATAAATTCCTGCGGATTACTCAATCATTCGTATTGTTGAAATAACTCAATAAAATGTATCGTTTATGTTAATCATCCGGAATCACACATTTGTGATGGAGGAAAAACCCCATCGAAACATCTATTACTTGACACTCCAAATTCTTATTTAATAATAGCATGTAATTCGAACATCTATTATCACTGAGGAAAAAATCTGATTGCATTAAATAATGCATTAAATTCTGATAGATTCAACCAGTATGTCTGTTGGAAAATGGACGAACCAGAATTCTTGTAGGAATTACCAGATGAGTCTGATTAATTTCTTCCTGTTAAATTTACCAAATTTTCTGGCTAATAATACTAAACTCGCCAGCAGCAAGTCGTCTACAATTTTTT